ACAGAGGGTAATCTCTAATATAAAAGAGGTGCACCTCATGGATAAACTGACAGCCCGACTGAGGGGATCCATGACTAGCTTCGACAAACTATGGGACCCATGGCAGAGTAGCGACCTCTCTGACGACACAACACACACCTGACCCTCCCACAGCTAGAGATGGTAACAGACGGGGACCCGAGACACGAGAGACACTAACGGAAGTGCTCCACACCATGGTGACCTGACGTATACCCGTACCTCACCCCCCCATCCTCTCCCTCTCAGCCCCTGACCCCCCCCCTTTTTTTATTCTTTTCTTGCTTCTCTACTGTCTTTCACCCTCTCTTCATTCACAATATCGCGGGGGAGCCTGAGGACCGAACCCTACTCCTTAGCAAACGAGTCCTCCCCTGGCAGGTCCAGGGTTCCACCACGAGGTTCGGGAGCCAGTGCTTCCCCCCCCGATAAAAACCACTACCATTAACAAACTATGCGCTAACCTACATGGTAGGACATATGTCATCTAACGTTAGAGTAAGACATAGGACATACTACCCACTGGGAGCTAATATCGCTGATGCAAATGGAATCCGTCCTATTATGCCAGGACACAGAGAAGCGGGGTCACTCAAATAATAATAAATCCCACAAAGCTACACTATTATACACCCCTTCTGAGTTACATGGCAATACAACGCTCTGGAAACGAAGTTCACACAATACCTATGTCACCTTTATTACAAAAAACCCTTGACGAGTAGCTGGAAACTTATTACTCATGCACAAGTCGTAATTATCACGATTGTCTTTTCTTTCTTATATGTATCACTGTGGTTATCTGTTATATGCTGTAATGGGCTTTTGCACAAGCCACACATTGAAATTTCATAGTGCTACTCTTGTCAAGACGAAAAATAAAGAAATAAAAAAAAAATAAAAAAAAATGGGTTAATGCTAGAGGGACCTGGCACCCAGACCACTTCATTAAGCTGAAGTGGTCTGGGTGCCTAGAGTGGTCCTTTAATGCATTGAATGACTGGTCTTTCTGGTGACATTTGGGAAACTGCAGAGAAGTATGCAGAGGGAATGACTGGACCCCAACATATAAGTTTGTTTGTCCACCAAGTGAGGACCAGAGAAGGAGATAAGTGGAAGGTGCATATGGTTTATTAAAATTGTATATACAAAACTAACAGGTTGAGAATAAATTAGTTAATTATAGCTAGCTAGCTTTTTTACCTGTGCTGGGAGCTCTGATATGTCCCTGTTCACTGCAAGGTCAAGCTTTTCCAGGCTCTCACAGCCGCCCAGATCAGCAGGAACCTCTGAGATACGGTTGTAGCTAAGAAGAAGCTCACGTAACTTTTTGAGCCTTCCTGAAAAAGAAAACATGGAATAACATACATGTTATGACGGAATATAACACAATAACACTAGAGTATAATATAGGGAATACATTGCAGTATAAACCAATACTATAAACTGCAAATTTAAGGAACAAGTCGTCCGCCATCCCCCCACCCCCAATAAGTGGAGCTTAACTGAATAACATCTGTTTAATTCCTGCAAATATTGTTGATGTAGTCAGATGTTGATGCATATTTTAGAAAACAAACATTTTTAGCAGGCCTGACAGGTAGGTAAAAGTATTGCCACTATGCTATTTTTAGATTTAAAGAAACACTATAGTGTTGGGAATACAAACATGTATTCTTGACACAATTTTCCTGGTATGGCTGTTTAGGTCCACGGCCCCGCACCAAATACGCAGAAATGGTGATTGTACTCACCTTTTTACCCACTCTAGCATAGGCGTGCGCACAGGGTGTGCCTGGGCACACCCTAATCACACCTCCGTGCTGCACTGCCTTAGGGCAGACTAACCTGTCAGGTCCTGGGTCTATGACCGAGGACCCGACACAGGAGGGAGCCCGGCGGCTTGCCCACAATGCCGCCGGGTGCGAGGCCCCTCCTGTCAGTCTGCCCTGATGGAGATCCAGCCTCAGTCTGCAGCTCCGCCAGGATTGAGCTGCACACTGAAGTGTCTCGCGATCTCCAGCCTGTCAGAGCGTTGCCGCGAGACTCACCATGTGGTCTGCAGCTTACTCCCAGCGGAGCTGCAGACTGAAGAGAGAGGACGCCCACTGGACCACCAGGGAAGGTATTTAAACCCTCTGCCCCCTGTCACTCACTGCCCCTCCACCCCCCCTACTCCCTGTCAATGCCCCTCCACCACCCTACCCCCCGTCACTGCCCCTCCACCCCCTTAACCCTTGTCACTGCCCCTCCACCCTCTAACCCCGTCACTGCCCCTCACTGCCCCCTAACCCCTGTCACTTGCACCCCTCCACTAGCCCCTGTCACTTGCCTGCCCCTAACCCCTGTCACTGCCTCTAACCCCACAATAAAAGCACCCCTCATCACTAGCCCCCTGTCACTGTTGACCTCCACTTCCCCCCATTGCCTGTTACTGCCCTCCCACCTCCATTTATCCCACTCTCACTGCCTCTTTCTTCCCCCCACACCCTGTCCCTGCCCTCCATCCCCCCTAACTCCTGTCACTGCCCTCCACCCCCCCTACCCCTGTCTGTCCCTCCCACCTCCCTTTACCCCTCTCACTGCCTCTTCACCCCCCACACCCCTGTCACTGCCTGTCACTACCCCTCCACCCCTTTACCCCTCACACTGCTTCTTCACCCCACCCTGTCACTGCCCCTCACCACCTGGCCCCCTGTCACTGCCCCCTAACCCCTGTGAAGCCCTCTACCCCAGCCCTGTTGCTGCCCCTCTACCCCCCAACCCCTTCCACTGCCCCTCCACCCCCTACCCCCTGTTGCTGCCCCTCCACCCCCTTAACACCTGTCGACCACACAGTGCACCCCTCACAATCATACACACTGTACCTTTTACAATTACACACACTGCACCCCTTACACGCTGCACCGTTCACAATCACACACACACACTGTACCCCTTGCAATCACACACACTGCACCCCTCACACCCTGCACTGCTCAGAATCACACACACACACACACACACACACACTGCACTGCTCACAATCACACACACTGCATCTATGTAGATTTGTATTTGTGTGTATATATGTGTGTGTATATATATATATATATATATATATATATATATATATATATATGTGTGTGTGTATGTACACGGTGTGTATGTATGTACACGGCGTGTGTGTTTGTGCTTTAGGGTGCACACCCTAATGCAACAGGCTGCGCTCACCTATGCACTCTAGTCTGGCCGCAGCTGGCTCCACCTCGAGCTTGATGATCTCAGCCAATCCAATGCTTCACTATAGGAAAGCTTCGGGAGGCTATTGTGCATACATGGCAAAATGCACTAGTTTGGCAAAAACTTATATCAGGTGCTTTTAACAAATTTAAATGGACATAAGGACAGTTTATCCAATGGCTTTCAAAATCTTACACTTCCTCCAGAGGTTGTTCCTTAAACACAAGCTCACCACTACTCAACAAATCTACACATAATATTACATTCAAAACTGGTCTATGGGTTGTAATGATAGGTTGCGGTGCCACTGGAACCTCCTTAAATTAATCTGTTACTTAAAAGACAACTATAGGCACCCAGACCACTTCAGCTCAATGAAGTGGTCTGGGTGCCAGGTCCCTCTAGTTTTAACCTTGCAGCTGAAAAATTAGCAGTTTTAGAGAAACTGCTATGTTTCACTGAGGGTTAATCCAGCCTTTAGTGGCTGTCTCACTGACAGCCGCTACAGGCACTTCCACGATTCTCACTGTGAAAATCACAGTGAGAAGACGCTGGACGTCCATAGGAAAGCATTGAGAAATGCTTTCCTATGGGCAGTTTGAATGTGCATGCAGCTCTTGCTCTTGTCGGCAGGGGGTGAAGGGTTCCCCAGCACAGAGGGAGCCCGGCGCTGGAGAAAGGTAAGTGGCTGAAGGGGTTTTAACCAGCGGGAGGGTGGGGGGAACCTAATGACTCTATAGTGCCAGGAAAACAAGTTTGTTTACCTGGCACTATAGTGGTCCTTTACGTTCAGGGTTGCTACTCTATGATTCCGCTATTAATTAAAAATAAGATATATAGAGACTCCAGCGGCACACGACCTGACCCACACGGGGACATATCTGTTGCAGAAGGCGGCTGGAGTGCCCCGGCCCGGAAAACCGGGATGCCGACTGCCAAAAGCTCTGCAGAGCGGCTGCGTTCTAGCGAAGGCTATGGGCAGGAGAGACGGCCGATCTCCCGCCCCTTGTCTCTTCCCCGAGCAGGACCACATAGAGTCCCGTTCCCCCCCCTCTGGGCTTGGGGGGGGGTGGGGTTCCCGGTACACACTCCACTGTCTAAGGTGTGGATGGCCCCTGACAGACAGCACATCGGGAGCACGGAATATAACCTGATGCACAAGATGGCGGAATCACTCACCAGCCACAGCCAAGCACAGCGGCAAAGCTGGATGCTGTTCTGGAGGCCTTCTGGGCAAAGCTGATGGCAAGAGCAGCGAGCCCCAAATGGGACCCCCAGCCACAAGACCAGGGTGCTGTTTGTGGGTGATGTGTGTTCTGTTTGTGTGGTGTATGTGTGAGGATGTTGTGTGTGTGGGGGTGATGTTTGTGTGTGTGTTCTGTATGTTTGTGTGTGCTGTTTGGGCGATTTGTGGAGGTGGGGGCAGATTAGTTAAGAAATAACCCCCCTCCCTTCTTACCTTATGTAGGAAGGGGGGACCGTGCTGCTGCCTTCCCTGGTGGTCCAGTGGAGGTGGGGGCAGATTGCTTAAATCCCCCCTCCCTTGTTACCTTATGCCAGGGAGGGGGGATCCTTTCTGCCTTCCCTGGTGGTCCAAGTGATGAGAGTGAACTCTAGCCTGCGGGGCTAGAGTTCACTCTCGTGAGATCTGAGTGTTACTGCGGTAACCGCGGCAACGCTCAGATCTCGCAAGAGGAACCCGGCGGAGCTGCTGGCAAGAGCTCCCCGGGTCCTCTCCTGCCTCCCTCCCTGCTGTGGGTCGGTGGGGAGGGAGGCTGAGAGCAGAGCCGGCGCTCAGATAGCCGGCACACCCCGTGCGCACGCCTATGGCCACCACGCTTGTGTTGTTTGATTAAATTGTTCAAGACTCACCAATTTCCCGTGGAATTTTAGTTATTGCATTCCGTGATAAATCCAGGACCAATAGATTAGTAAAGTTTGAAATGAACGTAGGTATCACCGTTAGACCAGTGCGGTGTATCTGCCACTCTTGGAGATGTTGGAGCTTTACTAAACATGCCGGCAAAGTCTGCAGTGGAGAAGAGATAATAAAAAAATTGCTGCACAGAAATAATGTAAAAGCTTTGAAATCACTGAAAATATGCCCAGCATCATTTTAGCCACTGGATGTAAAAATATAAAACATATAAACAAGATTTGAATAAGTATCCAGATTTCATTAATATAAGGAGGATATGTACATTTGTGTAGGACTTCTATTGATTTTAATGAGATCCAATGAATTGGCAAAGCAAATAAAAGCCTAGTTTATATGTATTTATTGATTTTAATGTATTGACTATACGATTTATGGAAAGCAGGTAGGAAAATCTGTTCTTGAATAAATGATGCTTTAAATTCCTGTTTCCTGGCTAGTCATGGCAGCATCACTTATGAGTAGCTCCTCCCTTAGCAGCCACAGGAAGGAATTATTTAGATTAATTAGACTAATAGGTATAGAGAGTCCCCCCATGCTGCAGCCGCCCGAGCGCTCTGCAGAGAGCCTCAGGCGGCTGCAGCTTTGCCTGCCCGGGCACAGCCTGAGGAGAGGGGCTGACAGGAGGGAAGCGCTCAGCGCTCCCTCCTGTCAGCCCCTCCCTGTAGCGTGGCCGAGCCCTCTATTGGTCCGCGGGTACAGGGAGCATCTTTCTCCTGTACCCGGCCGGAATAACAGGAAGTGCACACTGTGTGCACTTCCTATTAGTCCGCCGGGTACAGGAGACAGATGCTCCCTGCACCAAACTCAATAGAGGGCCTCGCCACGCCACAACAAATTTGTGGGGCGGATGATAAGGAGATTGGGGGGTGATAAGAGATTGGGGATGATAAGGAGAGAGGGGGACGATAAGGAGATGGGGATGATATGGAGAGATGGGGATGACAGGAGAGATGGGATGATATGGAGAGATGGGGATGATATGGAGGAGATGGGGGGATGATATGGAAAGATGGGGGTGATAAGGAGAGATGGGGGGTGGATATGGAGAGGGGGATGATAAGGAGAGATGGGGGATGATCAGGAGAGATTGGGGTGGGTGGATAAGGAGAGGATTGGGTGGGTGATAAGGAGATGGGGGGATGATAAGGAGAGATGGGGACATATGAGAGATGGGGATGATCAGAGAGATTGGGTGATAAGGAGAGATTGGGGTGGGTGATATGGAGAGATTAGGGTGGGTGATAAGGAGAGGGGGGATGAAAAGGAGAGATTGGGTGGGTGATAAGATGAGATTGGGGGAATGATATGAGAGATGGGGATGATATGGAGAGATGGGGGGATGATCAGGAGAGATTGGGGTGGGTGATAAGGAGAGATTAGGGTGGGTGATAAGGAGAGAGGGGGATGATAAGGAAAGATTGGGGTGGGTGATAAGGAGAGGGGGATGATAAGGAGAGATGGGGGAAGGAAATTGGAGAGGGGGGATAAAGAAAGAAATTGGAGGGGGGAGAAGGAAATTGGAGGGGGGGAGATTGACATTCATCACACACAATGCACCCCTTGCACACAGAAAAACACGCAATGCATTACACACACTGCATTACACACACAGACACACACAATGCATTCATTACACACACACAATGCATCCTGTACATACACAGAAACACACCTTGCAGCCCTTACACACACAAACACCGATTCACACAATGCATTCCTTACACACATATCAGGACATCCCCTACACACTCCACCCCCTGTGAACAAACTCATTGGTGGAACATGAAGGTGGACCCTGGGACCCAGACCTTGAGCTGTGTAAAGGGCCCCCAAAAAATGGAGCTGCTTCCCGTTTCCCAGAACATTGATTATTTTTGTGACCACAGTTACAAACCGCCTCCAGAGAGCCTATTCTACACCAGACCAGTGGAGCCAGACTGCAGCTAGAGCCCATCATCATCCTCATCTGGTTGTAAGTAGGCAATCTAGTATATTATTCGTGGCACTAATCTCTAATTTACCTCACATTAAAGTAACACTATAGTCCCCAGAACCACTGCAGCTTAATGTAATGGTTCTGGTATCTATAGCCTGTCCCTGCAGGCCTTTTAATGTAAACACGGCGGCACTGCAGCACTGGCGTTAGATAACATGGCAAATCATATGGGTGGGGCATTGTGATGTCACATGGGGGGCGGCAAACTTTACTTTTGCCTAGGGCGGCAAAAATCCTTGCCCTGGCTGGAGGGGGCTGTGTGAGCTGTGGCCGCACAATGCCCCATGGTACTTAGGGTACTTAGGCCAGTACAGCTCACACAAGCAAACAGCTGATAAAGTGGCCGCACGGAGGAAAAGTGGGGCGGATCTAAGCAAAATCGGAGGCGGAGCCACACTGGCGCTGAGGGCGGGGCTTTAAGGGGGTGCCAAGCACAGGATCCGCCCCGGGTGCCAAATGCTCTAGGTACGCCCCTGGGGAGGAGGGACTATTTATATCTATCAGTCTAATTTATTAATCTAATTAATTCTTGTCCTGTGAGGGAGGAGTTATCCATAAGGGAGGGTTTATAACTAGCCTTTTGTGCATTTCTCCCTCTCTTTTTTATTATTACTTTTATTTCTTTTTGCTTTCTCTTCTAAATAAAACCTGCATGTATGTGTATGTACTGTATATGCAACATAGTATGAAAGATCTATTCAATTCTGTAGGGGGTGAGTGCATTCAAGAAGTGATAATGCTTCGTAATTAAGTTGGAGTTATCACTTCACATACAAATATAGCCTTACTCAGTACAACTTTCATACTATGATGAAAATCTGGCAGCTGGGATGTAAATGAGTCTACTGCAAATTATTCTGGCAGTTTAGTGAAGGAAGTTGTTTATTGGAAACGTTATATATTTCCCGAGAGATGTGCTTCGGAGTTGATTTACAATTCAAGTTACTAAGGAATGAAATCAAGGGAAGTCCTTGAATCATTTGGAGAATAACAATTTTTACAAGTATTTCTACCAGAAGCAGAGAGAAATGCTCTTGAGTTGTACTTTATCTATACTTAAGACTTCTTGAGTGTAAGAACCCCAAATGAGGTCTTGGACAAGAATGATTGGTTAGAAATGAATCCATCTGCACATCTACACAATTTTAAAACAATTCTATACATGCGTATTCTCTGTATTATAACCCCACTCATTGGTTTACCTTCCATTCTTCCTTTTCAATCCTTAAAATTAATCTTCCCTCCTCATTAAAGACCTTCTCTCTCAGTTTAGATAGTTGAATCCGATTCTCCCACACATTTGAAATTCTGTTGAGATCAGAGTGATTTCAGACAAAAGGAGCCCAATTTCTACAAATTATTACTATTTCCAAAATTTACATTTAAAAATACTATAATATAATAAATACTAATATGTACCTAAATTTCTAGGCAGATACCAAGCTTGTCTCACAAAGACTTTAAAGTGACCATGCAATAACACTTCTATTACAGTATCACATCAAACGGGTTGGCACCTAGTGAAATCAAAATTATTGTACCTGTGTCTACTATAGCAACAATTATATGCAGGATATGTTTGTCTAGATCAATAGTGTTCCTTTACTAGTATATTATATTTGGACAGTGGTAGCTTTTTAAGCCTGAAGTTTGCCATTCACATTTCAACTTACTCCTAGTCTAGTAAATCATTCTAACTATATGTCCATTCCTGGACATTACCATAAAGGATCACATATTTCACATGAACATTCACATGCCTGGTAAATATACAGTGAAGAAACAAGATAACACAGCTACTCACTCTCCCACTGAAAGTTTTCCTCTTTTTTCTCTCTCTGCTTTCAGTTCCTCCTGATGTCTCTGTATCCTGCCTTCCCACAGTGCTCTGATACCAGAGATAGAGCCCAAACACACCACAGCGGTCATGTTCTTCCTCTGATGGGCAATGCGCACATTGGACTATCTGCTGATGGAAGAATATACTCAGAGTAAAAAGATGCACAGCACCAAGGACATGTGCGGAGCTTCAGTGACTTCTATTGTTTCAATAAAGCCTTAGTAGTCTACAGCAGGGTTTCCTAGTACATACACTTTGTCATTTAAGCCAGTTCCATAGGCAAACTGAAAAGAACACTATAATACAAACATGTATTCCTAATGCTACTGTGTCCCAAGACCTTTCACCTATTGCCACACCGATCTCCAGGATCGCACTTTGCTTCTGAGATAATCTGTATAGTTGATCCCAATCAGTTTTTCCCATAGGGAGACAGTGGGAGGCTAGTGTGAATGTACAGAAAAATACCACACCAGGCCAATCAAATGGTCTCTATGAGACCATCTGATTTAAACAGCCAAGTTTAACTAACGCAAGAAATAAAAACATTGCAGTTCCTGCAAGTCGGCAATGTTTTTAGTCGCAGAGTTATAATTACAGGGACCTGGCACTTAGACCACTTCATCGGTCCTTTTAATGGCAATTGTTATTAAATGATTGCTAATAGGGAGTATTAAACACTGGGAGTTGATCTGTTTGGCTAGTAATATTTCTAACCGGGGTCTTGATTTCATTCTTATGGATAAGCATTTTAAATTATTACAATCTGTTAGCAAGAAATTATTCAAATGATTTATCTACAAAAAACTTGCAGACTTTGGGTGACTTCTCAAGATAAACCCAGACTAGGTTTTTTGCCTTCTTTTGGATCAACAGCAAAAACATATGTGATGAAGGCTGAACTTGATGGACACATGTCTCTTTACAGCTATGTAACTATGTAACTTAACCATTTGAAATGTTTTTCTAATAGATAGTGATCATATGAAAAGCTTATTCAATAGAATTAAATGGACTTCTATGTCTGCAGAACAAGCATGTCAAACTCAAAGTGTGGCACGGGCCACATAAGGTTTAAGTTTATGTGGGTCGCAGGCACATACTCACTGACAGACACACACATACTGACACACACAGACACACATACAGACACACACACTCACTGACAGACACACATACTTGCTGACAGACACTGGCACACACACAGACACTGACACACACACATACAGACACTGACACACTCACAGACAGACACAGTCAGACACACACATACTGTCAGACAGACACACACACACACACACACACTTTTCTTTATTGCTCCTTACCTTTTGGAGCATCTCCCTGGAGTCCTTGCTGATCCTCACTGCTCCTGCGCACAGTTTAGTGATGCTGGAATATGACGTCATATTCCGGCGCCCGGCTTCACTTCAGTCGGCGCACGCGAGGGAGCAGTGAGGAGCTGGTACACTGAGCTCCCGCTGCCACCAGAGACCTCTCCTCCCGGCCTGGTAAATGATAGCAGGGTAGGCACCCGTAATGTGGGGAAAGCAGGTGCCTACTCTGCTTGGAACATTAGACATGTACTCGTGGCTCGCCAGGCCACAAAGATGGTCCTTGTGGGCCGCGAGTTTGACATGCTTGCTGTCGAAGGTTGAAATGTAGTGTTTTGTATTGTATCCAATTATGTATAGGACAGTGACATTTAACATCCCCAGATGTATCAAACCTACATAAACCATGATGCTCACTGAGATGCCAAGGTTACGAATCACTGCTATAGGCTATCAGATATTGTACAGTACTTGGGCAATCTGTGTTTACATTCACAAGCTCGATTGCCAAGGTGTACACCATGGCTGTCCAACCTGCAGCCCCTTAGATGTTACTCAACAAGTTTAATAAAAGCTAAATATCTGTCCTGATTAAAACCTTGTTTATTATTACATTTTTGTGCAAATGTTTAGTGATCCCTACAGTGTGTGTTGCTGATGTGTGTAAATGGGTTCATATAATTATAATATCAGTTAAGTTACTCACCCAGATAGGTTTGGAGACTCCGTGTTCTTCCCTTTGACAAAGCACTTTCAAGAACTCAGTGATCTGCTACGTGCAATGCAATAAAATCCATGTTAGTTGTTGTATCCTGGCATGAGTAACACAATCCACGCCAGCATTCAGTGGTCTTCTGAGTGTAAAATAAAATGATTATTGGAAGGGTTTGGTTGGCCATTAAGATCCATGTAAAGCAGCCAGTCTAGTGTAACACACCACGGTTTGAGAGAGTCTGCAGTAACCTACAATGCAAGTTTGAGAAGTTGCTGCAGTCCTTGTTCTCTGTCCTCAGTTGGAGGAATGTCATTCAATCCTCTAAATGTGAGGCGTGACCAGCTGAAAATAGCCATCACAGCACGAGGCCACATACTGTGTGACAGGCTAGTTATGACTGACACTGGAAGCCAGTTTCAGAATCACTAATAAATGAACACTCTAGTAAAAAAAAAAAAAATTTTATATACATATACATACACACAAAGATAGACAGACTTAGCAAGAGGAAATCTGACGCCAAGTTTGTATTGGTTGTAGTGTTATTAGGCCCAAAATGAAGATGCAGAGAAAGATTAGACTAGGCTTGCAAAAAACAAGACCAATACTAATCCTATTACCCTTGTTTGAATTAACTAAACAGGTATTAGGCTAGGTGCCTTGATTAAAAACACAAACTTTATTGAATCCCTATACGGGTACAGAAATCACACACAAAAAAAATATTAAATGTAGTGAAAGTGTCAAAATAAATTAGCTTGAAAAACGAAAAAGTAAAGTAAATATACTTGTTTAAAATAGGACTAACTGTCAGAACTTCACTGGTAATTCCAAGATTACACACTCACTTAAAATCGAGATACACTAGCTAATAGACCCAATACAGTGTTGCAAAGAACTGCAATAATCAAGGGTACTGAGCTGTGTCTAATTAGGAGGGTGAATTGGCATGGTTATCCATGAAGGGCAGAGTAATAAGAGATATCAATTTAATCTGTGGTAAAGTAAGTAAATGAAATGTAGAAATCTATCTATCTCTTAGTCTTGTTACTCAAAATAGAACTTGTAAGTAGGGTGGTTAGAGTCTCTAGTAATGGCTATAACCGATATATGGGGCGAATTGAACGCAGCAATTCCCAAACTGGTTGCAATTGGGACTCTAGCGATAAGAAAAGAAGAAGCCCCTATTAATATTTCTCAGCCAATCCTGAACAAAATGCTGTAAAGAGCTGTGAAACCTGACTGGACTCTGCTAGTATGGAGTCTTGGGTCTGATATAGCACTATTTACGTATAGCTCCAGGACACAGAGAGCGAGTATAATAGTATAGTAGGTAGGACAATCAATTATATTCCAAGGCTACACAACAGCAGGGTGAATAAATTGAATCTCTGATACTAGGTATGACATATATATGGGGTAAGTGAAATGCAGCATATCCCAAAATGTTACACTAACAAACAAGCCCCAATTAATATATCTTAACCTATCATGAATGTGCTAGGTAGCGGTTTAGAAGAACTGCAGATCCTGGTAGCACTCTACTATGCTAACATAGAGAGCAGTAGGTGATGTAGCACCAAAAATCGAACGATGATAAATGTATGATAAATACAGTATAGGCAAAATCACTTTATCGCAGTGCTATTATGAATTCCAAGCGAGAGAAATCCCATCAAAGTGCTATCTAGAAGGAGAGCAGACTGTCTAATCTGTCTAAGCTAAAAAAAACAGAGAGACTACCATCAATCATTGTAGCAGGAGTTAAATCTGAAAATACGTTAGGACAAATACCTGATACTACGTGTAAAGCATGATACTAATCTGCTCATTGCTTCAAGGTAACCCCTATTCTAATGACTAGGCTGCAAAACTCCAGTATAGAGATCTACCTACAAACAAGTATTCCTAAGTATAAGATTGTCAAGCCATCAAAAGAGGTCCCAGAAAGTAAAATCCACAAGTGTGGTCTCTAACTCAACGCGTTTCGGTGCTTACTTGCGCCTTTGTCAAGAGTTGGAGTGAGAATGAACTGGCCACTATTTTGTATGGTCATGAGAGCCCACCCCATTAGTGATGTCAGTGTTAACCGCAAATCACATCAAAGGAAGTGGTTCTTTTTTCAATTGCCTAATGGACAAAGTAAGGAGAAAAAATTAACTCCTCCAGTGCCAGATGAAATTAACTCCTCCATGTTCACAACTATCCCCCGATGGTGAGGATAGTGCCAGTAGTCAACAGAGACAGCTTGGACAAGAACAGTCATGCCTTTCATTGTCCAGTAAATAAAAAAAATTAAAAAAAACTTTCTCTTGCTTAGCAGCTACTTGCACTCAATTTAATTTACTGATTTAAAATAGTTTTACTGATTTGTGGTTTATTTTTTAGTAAGAGATGGATTATTTGAGTTGCAGGTTGTTTCTGTGCTACTGCTTGTGCTTTGGAAATTGTAAAATTCTTCCCTCCGTAATATACACAGTGTGTGGCTGCAGTGTGTCAGGTGTGTTGTGTTTTTTTTAAACTCCTTGTTGAAAAGTATTCTTGTAGTGGTGGTGCTTGTGGCGATATCCTTGTTCACCCACCTCAAAAATAAAATAAATTAACAAAATGTAAAATTAGATTGCAGCTGCTGCTCCCCCCTTTTTAAATATCTTTCATTGTAGTGGTTTTGCCTTGCCTGACAGAGCCTTGTGGTGTCTGGAACATCTTGATATAAGAAGTTATGACACGGTTTTCTCCCACAATGAAGGACAGTCACCAACAGGAAGATTTGTTCTTGTCAGGATGGAAGAGGTGAGTGTGTGACCAATTGCCCATTAGCATGTTCCTTTTTACTTTTCTTTTCTTTTTTTAGATTAATCCCCCTTTTTCAACTAAATGTGACTCCTGCCCTCTATTTTTCATTGAACAAGATAGCAAGAGGAAAAAGATTACAGTCACTATAAAGAGTTCTCTCACATTCTACTTTTAATCCAGATATATAATAATCTAATTTTGGCAACTCTCAATTGGCATTAGGCCGGCAATACTGTACCTGTTTTTGCCAGCAAAGTCATATTCATAATTTGCCCTGTGTTTGCTGAATTGCATTCCCGGTACAAACATTTGCATTAGGCTCTTCCATAGGAAAGCATTGCTACAATACTTTCCTATGGAGATTTAATTGATGCTGGATATCCTCATGCCCAACGACCCGTAAGCGCCTCTACTGGTTGTCTGGTAGAGTCACTAAGGGCAGTCTTAATCCTGCAAGGTAATTATTGCAGTTTCTCTAAAACTGCAATGTTTTACATTGCAGGATGAAAAGGAACAGGGGCAATGCAGCCAGACCACATCAATGAGCTGTACTGGTCTGGGTGCCCATAGTGTCCCTTTAAGATGAACAGGGGTGTGAACGCTTGGAACTCCAAAGTGAATTCAAACTAAATTTCAAATTTAAGGTCAATATAGCCAAACTGGAAACATTATCTTAGCCAGCTATGCTGTCAGTTTGGCTACTTTAGCCTGACATTTGAATTCTCATATTAGTAAATAACTCTGGAAGTGATTTTGGTGCTTAGATTTTCTCTTTACGATAAGAAGAAAAGTTTGACTTCATATATAAGAGCTCATTCTTTGTCCTCAATGTGATTTAGAAACGCAACAAGTAAATGATGAGAGTTTGACACTAGGCTTATATACTTAGAGCCAGTTACCAAAAGGCTCTAAACAAGGTGAGCACTTTAAATTACTATTTAAGTGTATGAAAATATTACAAAGGATGCTACACTTAGTTCGATAATTCTGTGTCTTTTATATACACTGTGGAGAGGAAAACACACCCTTTACCTTGGAGAGAGGGGTTGTGTGATCTACCCTTAAAGACACAGACGCATGGAAGTTTAGAGCCTAATTCACTTGAAAAGGCTCTAGAAAATGTGAGTGTGGATATATCTGTTACTCACTCAATGTTTTACTATAGTATTTAACGTACTGCACAATTATCTGTATAAATTTCTGTTTTCTTTTGTATGTATATTACATTGGAGAATATAGAGGATAATTGTCTTTGAATCACAGGTAATTCACTGTGTTCTCACATATAACACAGCGCTGCACTCTTAAAGATAGAAGACCTAAGGGGTGGTGTTACGGGCAAATGCAAATATTACAAGTTTTAGAATGAAATGTTGTATTTCTTAAACTGTGTACTTTGTCTTTAAGAGATATTGCAAACTGACAAGGTGTTAGAAATGGAACATATTGTTTTTCTTAACTGTTTCTTTAAGCAATAACCTCAGTGCATAATATGTTTGCCCCATTTTGTCCCAGACGAATTACAATAACAATAATGCATAAACAAGCTTCAAGGCTATTCTACGACACTTGCAGTACACAATATACTGTGGTAACCCCAAGTTAATGGAACTTCCCCAAATCCTGGAATCTCCCACGACTGTACACTTACGACTTAGTATAAACAACAGATAACCTATTCAGACTTTAAGATGCCATCTTGAACTAAGTCAGGAAAATTTCCATGACGTATACACCCTTTAGTTATGGCCTTGTATGTTTGCCAAATTAAGGGAGGTCCTAAATTGAATAAAGTAAAAGAAGTGTTACTTTTTCATATTTGAACTACAGTAACCTTAAAATGGAGACACCTAAGGTATAAATAGGTGTACTTTTAAATGTTAAGACACAGAGGAGAGACTTGGAGACAGACGCTGCTCCATCTTAAAATGACAGAGAGGCTGACATGATGACATGTTCAGAAGGGTATGTTAACCTATTAATGATATTTGCAAGCATGTAATTTAATCTTATAAACTCTGCTATAATGGATTTTATATTTTTATATAATAAATATCCAAAAAGACAAAACGATTGCTTCCAAGACAATCCTTATTTTATATTGTATTCTCAATTATTTATATATGTTAAATAGAGGATCTCTTACACTATATAAAATTATGGCTAAGATATCTGTATGGTTAGCCCTACTAAGTTCTATGCTTTAAGACATTATAGTGGTAAATAAGGGAACCACCAGCGGTTACACCCATTAGGCCTGAAGTCTTTTCTGTATCTTGGTGATTATCTTTACATGATGAGCATTATCTTAAAATGTAAGTATGTTTATTAATTAGAAAAAAAAAATGCAGAAATACACACGTGCTAATCTGCCAAAAAAAAAGGACTTCCTAATCACACAGTAGGATAGGAATAAAAATTACCCAGAGATATGTTCAGGGGAAACCAAATTGTAAGTTCAAGCACTTGGAGAAATAAAATATGACTCGTATATGTGAATCAAAGATGACTTCTGCTTTAATGGGAGAGCTTACATATTATATACTTGCGTGACAAAAACAGGATGCTTGAAGGCACTTTGTACCATAAAAGGAATTTACAGAACTAAGCATATTTCAAAGGTTATGTTAGTTAGGACATAAGAAGGGGGGCTGAGGGTGACAGCTGCAATCGTCACCTCAGAAACCACAGAATGTCACAAGTAAAAAGAGATTTTTGCCAGGCTCTGAAACTAGCGTAGAGGTAAAAGAATATCATAAGTTAATATATCTAAGTTAGCGAAGTTAATAAAAACAGACTGGTCATTCGGTCATCTGTAGCTTAAGCCGTGGGTCAAGGTGCTTTCCTTCACAATTCCCCTCTTTTTGATCCCAAGGCTCACCCAGGTATCTGAGGTATGTCCAGGTATGCTAGTAATACCTGTTGGTCTTTTTTTATATCTTCACCACAGTTCCCTCAGGCAGGGCAAGCCAGGGGTCACAGGAGGAATGTTCGTTCATCAGTTATACAGCGCTGTAGGTGTCAGGGGTTGAGGAAGCTGGCATATAAGTTAAGGTACGACCAACATAAAGGTTTTGAGTTACACAAGGATGATAGAAGACAGGAGAAGAACTTAAATGTCAGAAGAATCATCATTATGACAAATACTGCTATAAGTAAGAAATACAATATTTTCTTAATTAGCATACTGAGCCATGTACCAAGGTTCAATCCCAACCCCTGAAGAACCCTGTATCTTGTTTTATTTCCTTCACTAGATCGTGCAGATTCTGTATATGCTCATGGATCATGGTCCCATGATCCGAAAGATTAAAGCAACACATGGCCTTTACTGCCTCACACCCTAAATCAGGTTTCATTAACAAATAGTCAATAACTGCTCTATTTTCAAGGATCGCTTTCTTATTAACCTGGGTATCCATTAGAAGTTCCTCCAGGGCCTGGGATGTTGCATTTAAACTTGACGAGGGAATAGGCTAGGGCATTAATTACTCGGGTATAATACAATGCTAAGCCTGGGACTCCTACCATAGAGTACGCAAGGGCAGAGTATTTGGATTTAGTAAAGTAACACGTTACAACGCAAGGTGAGCCTATGCTAATCGCTATTTTCACTGTAAGTTATCATTTTAGTTATATCTAATGTCCCACTTTTTTTAAATAATATAAAGGGGATATGGAAAGGGGTTACCAAATTAGTTGTGGGCTCAAGCCCAGAGTCTTTTTTTTTTTTACCCCGGCAACAGTGACTGTGATCAGTTCTAGACACAAATATTGCTATGGTGTCCCAATTGAATTCACCAGATACAGATACCAGTACTGTGATTACTAAAAAAAACAAAAATTAACCATTATTTTCAGTGACACCAATGGAGTTTCACTTTTTAGGGATAGTACTAATACATTGCTAAATTAATAAAACTAAAATACCTGTAAATTACAATAATCTCCCAATAATATGGTATCTTTTCTTCAAAAACATTTCTTTTTACTTTTAGAATCTGTATTAATAGGTAAATCGTTATAACAATGCAAATACATACAGGGTTATTAAGCAACGTGAAAGTTTAAACTGTATTAAAATTCAAGGTCAACATGGCCAAATTGGAAAAATGTCTAAGTCAGCTATGCTTTCAGTTCAACTGCTCTAATTTGAAATTCACTGCAGAACGGCAATGTTTTCAGCTGCAGAGTTAAAACAGGACATAAATGGCACCCAGAACACTTCATTGAGATTAAGTGGTCTAGGTGCCTATAGTATCCCTTTAAAGGGACACCAAAGTCACCAGAACACCTTTAGCTTAATGAAGCAGTTTTTGTATATAGATCATGTCCCTGCAGTCTCACTGTCAATTATATGCCATTTAGGAATTAAATCAATTTTGTATCTGCTAATGCAACCTAGTCACACCTCTTCTGGATGTGTCTGACACAGCCTGCATGAATACAAATTTGTTTCACTTTCAATTAGATGTAACTAACTTTAAGCCCTTAAGGACCAAACTTCTGGAATAAAAGGGAATCATGACATGTCACACATGTCATATGTCCTTAAGGGGTTAAAGGTTTTCATCTCCTGCTCTGTAAATTAAACTTTAATTAAACTGCTCAGGAGTCTCCTGTAGTGACTAGCCAGCTATTAACAGAGCAGGAGATTAGACATTCTAAATTAAACAGAATTTACAATGAAGGAAGTGTAAACATTAGACAACTTTTTATAGGAAGTGTTTAGGAAGACCGTGTAAGTCACCTGCAGAGAGGTATGCCAGGGCTGCATAAACAAAGTGATTTAACCTCTAAATGGCACAGAATTGAGCAGTAAGACTGCAGGGGCAAAACTAAGGTCACTACCCATTTATGCAAGTTACATGTAGTGTCATGAAAATCATTTATTATGCACAATGAATAGTCTCTATGTATTATTGTGATGTGTGTTCTAGGACAACTTGTGTGCTACTCATAGTATCCTGCATATACGATGCACAAGGCAAACAGAGAGTTATTCTGGAACAAATATTCTGCATAGGTGTCTGAGTTTGGACTCCAGACACTCCTGCTGCAGCAGTACAATGCCCTCGGTGACACAGGGCCCAACACCACATAACATACAAGCTTATATCTCTCATAATCTAACTCCCTGACTGCTCTCTTCACCAGCTCTGCCAGTTCCAGTGCCCTCTGATGACTGTTTGTGGCATCATATATGCTTTCCTGTAGCTGGTTGTCCAGAACAGACTTGATGACTTTAGATGCTTCTTCAGCTGAAAAACATCTCCTAGGCTGTGGCTGAAGATCCATTTCGAAGGGGATGACATTGGCCCGAATGGTCTCCATGGCATCAGGTCCTAGACGACTTTGTGATTTGGCATTATCCTGAGTGAAAGTCTTCTTTTTTGGCCCTGAATCCAGCCCCCGTTGACGACTAAGAATCATTGAGGTCTCCAAATCATTCTTCTTCTGACGCGGTTTCGCTTTGGGAAAGATCCAGCGCTTCATATCCACATCCTGGCCTGGTTCCATCTCTCAACTAAACACATGGAGGGCTAATTAGAGTTTGTCAACTTTTTTAATCAGGCAAAAATGCTGTACCATAAATATATCTGTATAGTCTAATGTTTAAGTAATTTATTAGTTACAGTTTGTTTACATTTCAGTCATGTCTAGTCTAAATGTAGATATTTTTTATGTAGGTTTAAAGGGATACTATAGTGCCAGGAATACAAAACTGTATTCCTGGCACTAACGCTCCCCCTGTTGCAGCACTTAGTTCAATGAGCTGAAGTAGTTTGGGTGCCTACAGTGTCCCTTTAACAACAACCATGTTTTAAGCTTTAAATCATACAGAGATAAATCAGTGAATAATAAATTATATACCAACTCAACAAAAGATAAAATATATTATAAAATATTTGAATAAATAAAAACAGTCAACGTTATTCTCTAAACTATGAATTTTAACAAAATTGTCATCTAAATGACATAATATAGGCTAAATCAGACAAACTGTGACTATAACAGAGTTGGAGAATTTCTCCAAACCAGCTGTTTGCCTAAATGTTACCAATTAAATTTCAGTTTGCTACAATGTGGACTTTGGTGAACAAAACGTGACAATGTTATTCATTAAACTGTGAATAGTTGATATTTGACAACGGAATTGCAAATGTTAGGCCAAAACAGTCAAGCTTGAAAACAAATATGTTTGGTAATTGTTCCAGTTTAGCTATTTTGGCCTATATTTTGTGAACTCTTGTTAATTTTCTCCAGTTCCTAGTTTAATAATAAGCCCCATGGAATGCACCAAACTATAATAATAATAATAATATAGTGTAATAGGCAGGAATCCCATTACTAGCAGTGGCGAAGCTACTGCAGGTGCAGCTACACCGGGGCCCTCAGGCTGAGGGGGTACGTCTGGTGTTCCATGCACTCAGGGCCACCAGATAGGAATGTGTCTTTAGGGGTTCCTTTAAGCCAGAGCTGGGAGAAAGTTTGAGCTGGTCACTTCCTACCAGATACACGACAGCTGCGCAGGAGGACAAGAGACGAGGGTAAAAGACCGAGGAGAAGGCCAAAAGCAGGTGAGCTTGAACAGGGAGAGTCTGCCCCTTACATCCAACAGCATTAACCAGCAGATCTTACTAGACCCCAGAGAAGCCACCCTCCTGCACCCGAAAAGTAGGAAACAGGTGGGTGGCTAAACAGGTGTACATTTAGATCTGCATCTGGGTCAGTGTGTCATTGTGTCTACGTGTATCAGTGTATATGTGCATGCATTTCAGCATTCAAACACCAATACTACATACAAAGGCAAACCCTGCAAACCTCTGCTTTCGAATAGCAACAGTACATAAAAGCAACACTACACACAAGCACACATAAATTCAGACACACACATACTTAGTGCATCTTTTCAGTGTACCCCTAATTTCATACACCTAAATAGGGTGACAGGGGCATTGCTAGATTCCAGAAACACATGCTACTTAAACCCAAAACAAAGCTTTATGAACCCTAAGCAAACAGAGAAGTTGGAATATGTCATAAGCTATCCCTGCCTTTTAATGCAATCTTACCAGGCTTCCCAGCTAATAAAGTGTTGTACATTAAAGTTCTTTTTTTACATCAGGCAGCTGCTTGATGTACAATTAAAAACATTTAAAGAAAAACAATACACTAATATATTTTATATTATTAATTTATGTTGGTTTAAGGTGATTTTATTTGTTTTGTTTCATTCTTGAATTTTTCACTAACATGAGTTTAGAAAACACATTGTAATGAAGAAAATATCTTCAGAGATTGGTAGATTGGATTTTACTAAATGCAACCAGACTGATCACGTTCTGAGTCTTGGCTTTAGTTGGATTACAGTAGTGTTGTGAAAACATACATTGTGCCAACAGTCCACGCTTTTGAGCTAGTCTCTTAATCTTGTTAATTATAGGTAGAATGGTAAGAAGCTTATGACTTTCTTTACTATATATTGCTATACATATTTGCTAAAAGAAAAATAATTCCAGCTCTCTCATCCACATAAAATGCTAGTGTTGCATATGTTATAGCAATCACAGCTGTTTATTGATAACTACATATAAAGAACCTCCCATTTCACTTTAACAATATAAATGTTGTCTCTATATGGACTTAATTCTGCTGACGCTCTCAGCCAGTACATGATGTTCAAAGTTGGACAGAAGTTATATTACTAAAGTAGTATGGAAACGTACACTTTAGCGACATCGCAGAAGACTGTGATCACCGTCTCTGCCTGAGGGACTAAACAGTTTGTCTGTTTACTGTGGGCAGCACTTCTGATGCACTATAATTACTACAACACACTGGAATGGTCATGGTGCATAGGGTGCCCCTTTAAATGTTACAGCAGCTACTTATTACCAGTCGCTAACATTCAAACTTTGTGGCACGGAAACATTTGTGAGCAGATAATTTTATTGCCAGCCATTTTAGACATATAATCTATTGCTGGTATTAGGTTAAAGGAACACTCCAAAGAACTATAACCATATGCCAGAGCCCTGGTGTCCCTCCCCAATGTAAGTAGTCAAACTGTTTTAGAATGGTTTGACATTTTACCTGGGGTTTGCTGAGCATCACTCCCTGCTTCTGCTAATGATAATGGACAGCCAGAAGCTCCTAAGCAGTGATTTTAGTGAGCTGTTTTTAGCCCTACTGATGTAACACCTGCAATGCAGGGCTAGCTCATTGGCTGGGAGTGTCAGCTGATCACTCTCGGCCAATGAGCTAAGTCCAGCACTGCAGGGTTAAAGGAACACTTCATTGCCAAAATACAATATTAATAAAAATCACTGCTTAGTACATATATCCCAATTAAAAGCTTACATACCTTTAAAGGAACACTATAGCTTTAGGAATACAAATATGTATTCCTAACGCTATAGAGTGCTAGTCACAGTTTAGGTGACTAGGGCCCCCGTTCCGCTGCTAATAAAGGGTTAATTAACCATTTATTTGCTTACCTTAATCCAGCACCAGTGACCTCTCCTCCTCCATCGACGACAACTTCCGAGTGGAGCCGAATGCACATGCGCAGCCAGAGGCGTGCGCATTCAAACCCGCCCATAGGAAAGCATTACTCAATGCTTTCTTATGGGGACCTCCAGCGTCAAATAAGTGAGATTTACTCCATGTAAATCACGGAAGCGACCTCTAGTGGCTGTTAAAACTAGAAGGACATGGCACCCAGACCACTTCATTGAGCTGAAGTGGTCTGGGGTGCCTAAAATGGTCTTTTTTATTATCTATTTTGTTCATTGAGGTTTATCTAAAAACAGCTTGCAAAAGTTGTAGTTCTACCTTTGCTAGCCCTCTCCTTCTAATTGACTTTCTGTGACTTTCTAATCGACTTTCTCTGACTGTCCAATCACAGACTTCCAAGTGCAGCTCAATGAGATGTCTTTGCAAGGCAGGTGCTCGGAGCATTTGCTGTCTCTTGAGTTTAGCTCTATGGAGCTAACCAAGTCAAAAGGAAACATTATCTGTTGTATGATTCAAAGCCGTGTGGGTGTAACCAGGTTCATTTATAAAAGTGAGAATTTCTATTGAAATCTGCACCCTTTGCAAAATGAAACAAAGAGGACCCACTCTTCACACATATAACTTTTCAGAAAGCTAAAGTGTTTCAGGGGTCTGGAGTGACCCTTTAACTCAGAGCTGTAGTGGTTATGGTGCTTGGAGTGCTCTTTTAAGACAAGCCTGGAAATGAGCCCACACTGTGTCTTCAAGTTACAGATGTGCAAATATTACTATTTAAATTCAAAGACACAAGCATCATTTCCGCCTACGTTGTAAACATGGATCTGAGATCAATTTATTATCCATAAATAACGAATATCCTGAGCATTAAAAAAGACAATCACTTGCATACGCTACATGTTTTGTATTATAAGGAATGCAGGTAAATGATATATATATTAAATTATTAAATAAAAAATGATTTCAAGGGACTAAGAATTAGTGAATGATATGACATGCATATTTAACAGGTATGCTTGTAGCTACGTTTCTATAAATCTAGAATTGTCTTTCGTTATAAGAGATGACTGGAGAAAACTAAAGGTTTTATTTTCTGAAGTGAAATCCTGGACCAATGTACTAAAAGTGGAGTATGTAACAGTTCCACAGGTATCCTTATTATGGCCCTACATATGATCTATAGAAATCTCTGCCAGTGTGTGTGTGTAAATGTCTACATCACTTTGCACCGTCAAACTTGGTGTTTGCAATTCCTGTGACAAATAATTGGTTAAGATATTACTCAGAAAATAAATCATTTTTGAGGTTCTTATACCTTTTACGGGATCAATATGTTATGCCATATAAATTGCTGTCTGCAGGAACCGCCAGCTGTCTCTTCCTCAGTTATTCTCTTTATAATGCTATGTTGTAGTCTTCTTTAATTTGTCCACTCTATCCTTTTGCCTTCTCTGGACAATCTTTAGTCCTTTGTTTTCCGTCTGCTCCTCAGTCACTCGGTTTCTGGCCGTTTTCCCTTCATTTTTCAAGCAATCTCCTGCTCTCCGTAGTTTAAATGAAATCAGCCCCTTTCCAGAACTGCATTTTATCACCACGCTATGATGTTGCCAAGAGACCACAGCCCTGTCCTCCCACCACACGTAATTAAATCCCCTCCTTCTATAATCACAATGAAACCTTAGAAGCACCAGGCACAATGTTATTAGAACACATTATTACAAAACAGACTAGGGGGCAAGAAGATTCATTGTTGATGTCAGGTGAGGAAATAAAAGGGAAAAAAATCAACAACAAAAAACGCATATGACGCAATTACATGGATATTTTGTTCCTAAGTTCACCTGGTAAGATCATTTATAAACAAGTAGAATTTTCACCCACTGAAATTTAAAGTAAAAATAAAATCTGCACGGTTGGTGCTTCCACTGCCCAATAAAAAAAACACTAGATGCTATGTGTTATGTAATTAGCTGCCACGTGTCTACACTTTCCCAGCAACTAAAAAGACAACTTAACTTTAACAAATTTTAAACCTTGACTAAGTATGTACAATTTGCCTAGGGCCAACTATGATAACTTTGGCAAAGCTATGGCAGAGAGCAACAGAACATGTCATATTAGCAAAAGGTTTGTTGAAACAAAACTTCGGATCCCTTTGTTACTTGGGAGGGTTATGATCCTGAAGTTGCCAAAACCCCTTAGTAACCAGGGTCAAGATACATGACATTTGTGTTTTGTGTTGAACCTACGTTCAGGATGAGGTAATGCCACTTATAATGCTACTACTTCTTGCTCCCATCTATGTACTATTGGACAATATTTATATAGTACCCAAACTCCATAGATACCGCCAGGAGAGAAACACCCAGGAAGAGATGGTTTTACCTAAGAAAGAAAGAAAGAAAAACCTAAACAACAACAAAGTAAACAGATATGGTTCATACTCTCATTCATCAAAAAAGCTCTTGAATATATCTTCTGCCTATGGAAGTAGGCTCCTTCTTCTGTGCCTACATTTGAGGAATGGAAAATGTCTGTTCACACAAAAATGACCACATATCACCAATGAGGGAGAATTTTATACCAGACTTGTAACATTTATTTCAAGACTTGAGTAGAAACGTCTTTTTTCTGTGCTTGTCTTCACTGATTTATTTATTATTTTAATTCTTTATTTTTGAGTGCATAAGGAAGAATAACAATCGCAAATGCGTGTGCCATGCCCCAACGGCATGTACCCGCAATATAGTAATAAACATCATTGTTGTAAGACATGACATGGGAGTACAATTGTTTGTATATAATGATGTGAAGACTGTTTTTAAACTTAGATAGTGGAATATATCAAATGCCTGAACATACTTGTCTGAGTGAGAGACGATACAGGAGATTCAAATATCTTCACTGATTTTAACCTGCACCATAACTACTATTTTTTTGTATCCACAGCTTTCTTCCTCCAGCAGCATTCTTGGCATCTGGATTCTCCTGCAAGAAGAATCCAGGTACCTCTACTGTTATGGGCAAATGCAAATATTACAAGTTTTAGAGTGAAATGCTGTATTTCTTAAACTGTATACTTTGTCTTTAAGAGATATTGCAAACTGACAAGATGTTAGAAATGGAACATATTGTTTTTCATAACTGTTTCTTTAAGAAATAACCTCTTACCTACCTACAGTGCATATTAGGTTTACTCAATTTTGTCCCAGACGAATAACAATAACAAATGTTAAGACACAGAGGAGAGACTTGGAGACAGACGCTGCTCCATCTTAAAATGACAGAGAGGCTGACATGATGACATGTTCAGAAGGGTATGTTAACCTATTAATGATATTTGCAAGCATTTAGTTTAATCTTATAAACTCTGCTATATGGTTTTTATATGTCGCTATTTATATTTTTATATAAATATCTTAAAAGACAAAACTTTATTGCTTCCAAGACAATCCTTATTTTATATTGTATTCTCAATTATTTATATATGTTAAATAGAGGATCTCTTACGAACTATATGAAATTATGGCTAAGATATCTGAATGGTTAGCCCTACTAAGTTCTATGCTTTAAGATGTTATAGTGGTTAATAAGGATAGAATGATAGAAAAGGAATCACGGGAACACCCAGAACATGCATTTTTGTATATAATCTTAATTTGCAGATATTTCATGCCTTAAAGACATACAAAAGGATATTTAATTAAATATGCAGGTATCTTTAAAAATTAAGCAATGTTTAAAAAAATAAAAATAATAATAATAAGAGAAAAAAAAAATATATATTTTTTTACCACAATATAAACAAACAGTCACAATATAAACAGCTTTTTTAAACAGATTTAAGTACAAGTACTTATGTCAAGAACTATACAGAATCCATTTACAACAGGCAGGTTTAGTATAAATGCAAAGTTGTTGTTTTTTGGGGATTTATTATTGCCCAAGAAATCTCTGAACATATTCAGAATTTTTGAGAGCAGCAAGTATAGATAGCAGATTGCAATGGACACCATTGCAATATTGTTTTGCCGATTGAGGTCAGAGCTTTAACCCTTTAAGGACCAAACTTCTGGAATAAAATGGAATCATGACATGTCACACGTCATGTGTCCTTAAGGGGTTAAATAATAAATAAATGTTCTATAGCTCACTAGACCACTGGCTTTTAATGAACAGTTTGCACAACACTTATAAAATAGTTTGTAATACTGCACATTATACCGGTGACAACATGATATACAGGGTAAAAATGCTATTTCACTGTTTAATAGACTTACCCAGTATTTAAGGACAACATTTTTCTTGCAAAGTCATCAGGACTTTGAGGGAGGTTCTAACTATGTTTAATTAATTAACTAAAAAAAAAAAAAGACAAAAAGGTTTTGTTTTTTTCCCCCCTGCAAGTGAATTTTCAGCGCAAGCTCATTTTGTGTTCACAGACTATTTGGATTTTTAAAAAAAGCTGTTCTTTATCTCACATTATGAACGGCCTTGTAATTCCTATGCACACTAAAAGTTGGCTTTTAAAGGTTATTGTTTTAAAGGACCACTATAGTGCCAGGAAAACATACTCGTTTTCCTGGCACTATAGTGTCCTGAGGGTGCCCCCACCCTCAGGATCCCCCTCCCGCCCGGCTCTGGAAGGGGGAAAGGGGTAAAAACGTACCTTTTTCCAGCGCTGGGCGGAGAGCTCTCCTCCTCTTCTCCTCCCCGTCGGCTGAATGCGCATGAGCGGCAAGAGCTGTGCGCGCATTCAGCCGGTCACATAGGAAAGCATTATCAATGCTTTCCTATGGACACTTGCGTGCTCTCACTGTGATTTTCACAGTGAGAATCACGCAAGCTCCTCTAGCGGCTGTCAATGAGACAGCCGCTAGAGGAAATAGGGGAAGGCTTAACCCATTCATAAACATAGCAGTTTCTTTGAAACTGCTATGTTTATGAAAAAATGGGTTAACCCTAGCTGGACCAGGCACCCAGACCACTTCATTAAGCTGAAGTGGTCTGGGTGCCTAGAGTGGTCCTTTAACTTTAATATTTCATAGTTAATACAGAGGATAAAGTAATTTAAAGAAAGTTTATTGAAAGTATATTATTATAATTGATAAGATTTAATTTATCTATTTTGGTCCACTGTTCACTAAACTCTAGTCTCAGTCTGGTGTTCAAACAGTTTTTCTAACGATATGTTGTGAGTTTATAGCCACAACTGCATTTTACTTTGAAAGCCTGGCATTGTAATACGTGTATGGACATGCTTATAACAAAGCATGGCCCCTCTCCTCATGTAGTTGGTCGTTAACCGGCACTTTGATGCAATGTGTCTACCAACGCTTTTCTGTGGTCACTGGATCACAAAGGCATACCCTATCTCTCAGTCATGATGCAGAGTTTATGCTTGCAAGGATATCCAGACCTTATCCACCTGGTATCTGCATAAATACTCCTATACTTTAGAGGGGTTAATTACATAATAACCATTGAAGGTAATATGTTGGTTGTTCTTCCTGTAGAGGAAAGATAGACTTGCCCAAAGGCTACTGAGCTTAGCAGTGTCATTCTCGTTTTCTGAGAGTGTCAGAAAAACCCTGTCCTCTATCACATAATGCTTAGCTCAGTGAGGACATCTGGATTCTCCTGCAGGGAGAAACTAATAGAAACTGCTTTATTGTTTATACATTTCCATCAAATGAAGCTCAAAGAAACACCCCAAACACCATTTCTCTACAGCTTTATTTTAGTGGCTATGATACCAGGTGTTAGCATGGTTTGACAACTTACTTGTGTCCCACAATAGTCTCCTGTATTGCTCTAAAATGGCATTCAGCTTCTACTAATGGAGAAGACTGGATGCAGAGCAGGCATCCAGTAGGACCCAGTTGAGTTGCAAACAGTGCTAAAAGTTTCATATATGTTGCCATGCCACATCACCCGCGCACACATGGAATCATAACACATACAGTTGGCTGTACTGGTTATGGTGCGTGGTGTGTCCCTTTAAAACATTCTCCATGGAATAGCAGGGAGAATAAACCTTACAGAAAGCCATTTCTTCTTACATTATACAAATACTTGGGTGGATTAACCATCTTAACAGGAATTCCACAAAACCCTTAAACAGAACACAGGGAATTCCAAAGACAGATACACATGCTGCTTAGTAAATGTACAACAAAAGTTATACATGGCTGATTTTTTTATATTAAAACCCAATTGAATGAATAAACAAATTCAAATTATATGAAATACATACATATCTGCAGTTTATTACTCACATTTGGAGGGCTTAGGAAAAATGTCCACATATGCCAATAATCGCAGTTTTTATTAATATGCAAAGTCAAATTTCAACAGTATTGGTTGGGTTGGTGGAGTGTAAATGTCTTTTGCCCAGGACAACAATTTAAAACATTTCTTTCATTTTCTAAAACATACATGTAATCTGCACAAATCATAGTAAGTATCGGTCTTTATGTAGTGTAACAGCCAGAAAGAGTCTTTTGTGAAAGATGTCATCCGCATATATTGACCCATGAGCTCAAGGTCGCTATTGCTCCCAAGTCCACTTGATAATATGCCCCAATATAACCAGGGGGGAAAAAACCACATCATTATAATCTTATCTTTTCCCTGCCAGTTGCATCAGGCCTCTTGTGTTTACTGTTAATTGTGCTAGATCATCACAATAATTAGATCCACACTGATTTAAACATGATTTTCAATACAGCTGCAGTATGGCATAGTATTGCTTTGCAGGATAACAAGAGATCAAACACAGGATCCTACCAGCTAGTTCTGCTCTTTTCATTCTTCAAAATCTTGCATGTACATGGTTTTCACAGTTTCACTACACTTGAGAAACTGCTGATCACATTAAGCCCTTCACCACCATATGCATGTATTACCTAGCAATCCTACTGTATTTAAATCACGGCTGCTCTGGTAGAGAAAGGATTAGAATTTCAGGATATCTTATTTTGTATTAGCCTTCCTTGATGTAGAAACCCTGCTCCCTATTAGTTTGTCTGGGACTGCAGGCTGAAGTATTCTCCATGGCTGAAGCATTCTCCAAGTCGGTGTCCAAAAACTGGAAGATTGTGCCATTTCCATCTCTGCAGTAGCCATGAGTCAATGCCATTCTCATTTTAGATCCATAAGCATGGAAGATGGGTTCTCTAGGTAGGATTTCCACAGATTGGAGAATCGAGACATAGTTGCACCATCAATAATTCTATGATCCGCTGACCAGCTAACGTTAATGATCTGAGCCTTCACCACCTGGCCCTTGGCATCAAACCTTGGAAGAACCTATTGATTAAGAGAATCCAAAGAGCATTAAGTGCTGTATCGTGTTTTCAAATTACAAACCCCATTGCTGATTTATTGAAAAAAAAAAAAAAAATTTAAAAATACATTTTACATATTATATAAAATTCAGAAAGTATTTATATCCCTTCTTTTTTCACATTTTGTATGTTGTAGCCTTATGCTACAACTGTTTATATTTTTTTTTCACATTTATACTCCATAATGATAAAGCAAGAACAAAAAAATAAAACTAAATATGTAAATATGACATACATAAATATTCAGACCCTTTGCTATGACAGATGAAATGAAGCTCAGATGCATCACATTTCTCTTGATCATCTTTGAGATGTTTCTACACTGGACACAATTTGGAAAGGCACACATCGTCTATATAAGGTCTCACAATGCATATGCATATGCAAGTAAATCAAAGCGAAAAGAACTGCCTGCAGAGCTCAGAGACAGGATTGTGTCAACACACAAATTCCAAGACTACAAAGCATTTTGTCCCCAAGAGTAAAGTGGCCTGCATAATTCTTTAATAGAAAAGTTGGGAAGAACAAGGACTCTTAATAGTGCTGGCTGCCTGGCCAAACTTTGCAGTAGGGGAGGGGTGGATGCCACTGTAGGAGTATGTTACTGCTCGGTGGAGTCCTTTTGTTTTGTTTTTATCATCTATGGAGCATTAGAGATTTAAAACTATATGACAAAGTTTGACACTGTGTTTGATGCATTGTGGTTCAAAAGCCAACATGGTATTCCTTAACGTTCATTGTCAAAAAAAATGGATGCATGCACAGGGGCTACTGCTACTCTGATAAGCTAGAATTAAGACTACTTTACTATGCTTTTGATCATTAGAGACTCTGTCCTGATATATGGATGGACATTATATTATACACACACACACACACACACACATATATATACAAAAGTGAAATAGAACTAGGGGGATCACGATTAGGGACAGAAATAGTCCTCTTAATAAATCTCCCGTTTCAAGTGAGAATTATTATTCCCCTCACCCTAACCAGGGAGATCCAACCTTTGCCCTCTGGTTTTATGTTTGCTATTATTATAGAAGTCAAACAACAGCTGGAGAATGCAATCTGCCAAAGATATAACATACCACAAGGAATAATATGAACTGAAGCTTACATTTAATATCTGTAAATTGAATATCTGAAATTAAGAGGATCTAGGGTGCATGGACTGTAAATAGTTTCAGGGAGACAAGCTTGAATTACAAGAAGGGTAAAACTAATACATATAGTATAGAATATTGAAAAACATGTTAAGAAGAATAATCTCTTGGTCCTGAACTCCCCCCATACCTCTCAAAAGTAATTGTATGGAAATTTTATTTATTCTGAGAACAATTCGTGTTATTTGTGCTATAAATAATATTTCATCACAAAAAGATATGCAATATTAATTCGAACAAGTACTCAGTGAATCCCTGTCCACCTTAAAGTAATGTACTTGTAGGTTGCTTAATAAGCTTTTAGAACAGATATAACTGGTAATTTCATAGTTACATTCACACACTTAATATAATAAACTCACCTGTATTTTTCCAACGGCTCCAATTGCCACTTCTGGAGGTAGTATAACAGGTTTTGCATATGTTCCCCCAATCTGTAAAGAAAGAGGAGAAATGTCAATTAATCTCTATAATGAGTTGACATATATTTCCTATGTGTGTCTTGCTCACCGATCCAATGTTGGATAGGGTAAATGTTCCACCAGTCAGGTCTCCTGCCCCAAGCTGTCCAGTGGACCCCAAAATCTGCAAACGGTTCAGCTCTGCAGCAATCTCAAAGATACTTCGCACTTGTACATTTTTAACATTCGGTACAATAAGGCCCTGTTGTGTGTCCATAGCAATCCCTATATTATGAGATGCCTACAGAAGGGGTGAAGTAGAAAAAAAATCATAAAGGAAAAAAAACAAAAACACACATACTTAATGGAATTCCTTTTTTTGCTTCCTAACAATTTTTCAGTTTATTACAATAAGGGATATTATTATGGCATACCTTGTAGGTTATGTTCTGGCAGGCCTCATCCAGTGATGAATTGAGTATCGGGTATTGTAGCAGACCCATACTTGCTGCCTGTGGAATGATAATCTGGGTTACAGCAACAACCTTTAGGGCGTTCTAGGTACCAACACAGATATAATGCTTTTTATAGTCTTTGTGAATGCAAGAGATTCATGTGCGCTTACCTTCAGGAAAAAGGGCATGAAGGACAGACTAACACCACGAGCCTCAGCAATAGGTTTTAGATCCTTCCTAAGTTCAGCAAGCTTTGTCATGTCCACCTCATCACAATACCCAAAGTGAGGAATTTTCAGGGCTGCGGACATAGTCTTTACCATGGCCTTGTGGAACCCTTAAAAAAAGAAAGGACAGATAGAGTAAAGGAGGGCAATGGACCTGCAAGTGTGGATTAGAGGCAAACACACTGGAAATGTGCAAAAGAGAAAAGTATGAAAAAGTTAATTTTGCAGAGACTAAAGTATAAGACACATAGCTTATTGGACATAGTAAGGTGCTTCAATGGCATTGGAACAACTGGGTTCACCAATAAACCCTCTCCATATTAAAACACACACAAAAAAAGCCAGACATGGCAAAAATACATACATTTCTATTAAATACATTTTTGTTTCAATGAAATAATTATTTTGTTTGAAAAAAATAAGTAAACACTAACACGAACTATGCATTCCTCTATTGCTGAAAAGGAAAATATTAATGGAAAACACTTTCCTTAAACATTATTTTTTGCCAATCAAGTTGTTATTGAGATGAATTACAGACTTGTGCATGTAGTTCTGTGGCCTTGTTGCCCAAACTCTATACAATTATAGTACACGTACTTATGGCAAAGGAGTGATATATTTCTAACTTGGGCCTCAGCTTAATTCAAATGATTTATTAAGTTTTTTCCCCCAACCTAAATGGTGCCATTTGGATCTCATTTTGAGGGAGTCTTTCAGGCAATTACCTGACACTCAGCACACTCTATTGGTGGAGAGCAGCAGGTGGGAGGTCCCATCTGCTCTCCCTGCCAAGCAATTCTTGGTCATAGATTCTCTGCTGAAAAATGGACTTAAGAACCTGCTCCATGATGCCGACAAACTAGCTTTGTGACCAGCATGCCGGTGTCTGAACAGAGTGACACCACTATAGTCCCTAGCCAGCACACAGAGAATGTGCTGTGGTTGCTATGAGTAGAGAGCAGAAGGACCACCTGTGAGAGTCTATGCCAAATAATTGATCGGCATGTGGGAGAAAATCCCATTTTAAATAATAGGTTTTTCTCCAAATCTATAGATTTGTTATAAAAAAACGGTAACACAATGTACAGATGGAATGTCATGCCCTTTCTAAAGAGCAGGAGTGGTTTGAGGGCTGGATAACAGGTCCCCTTTTATTGGGGAGTGCACTGTATAACCCTCCAAGTGTTCTGAATGATGTCATATCACATGAAGGTCATCATCATTCAATGATGGATATCACAAGCTGTGAAGAAACTCACTGAGCCATTATTAAAAATAGTGTTATATGCAGAAAATACATGGATATCATATCAGACATGACACTTGAAACTACACATAACTAAGAAAACAAATGGAATAAAAATATGATCTGACAATGTTCTTTAAAACAGGAGGGTGTAAATCACTTTGTAAACCTCTCAAACCTCTCATTTGTGACCTTTCATAAGTTTGTTACTTTTTCACTTGTTTAGACCAATACAGTAAAATAGGATTACAAAAATCTCCCTAACTGCCAAAAATAAAAAAAATTAGTTTTATTCTATGATGAGAATTCTCAGTCTTTATTTATCAAGCTAGATTTAATTATCTGTTTACACAAGCATTAGATTCCACACATGCTCTACAGATTGCCAGTGTGGCTTGAGTTGGAGCTGAAAGCCCTGAATGGGTAGAATAAAGTTACCCTAACACACCCATTGAGTGGATACACTATTCTGTGCACAGTGGGTTGGATCTGATGCTGTGGACCATGCAGCACCAGGTGACTGATTTAATTTTTATATTAGTCATACACTTTAATGTCAAACCATTTAGGAAAACTTTGGGCACCAAGAAAAGCCCTGGTTTATGTCAGAGATTTTCCTCTCCATAGAGGCAGTGATAACATAGCTTTGAACCTTTCACATTATCAATGGTGACTTTGTCCAACCTGAATGTCATTGATAGTCTAACAGTGTCGTGCTAAGCCACCCCAACACTCTCAGCCAATCACAACCTTCCAAGCTGGAAGAAACAGACCCTGACAATGATGACGTGCTAATGCCATATTATCAATATGACAAACGAGGGGGGCAGTCTTTGGGGACCACCCTGGTCTATGTCACACAGCTCTCAAAATGACAGTATTGCTGAAGGACAAGATGATTTTATGAGAGTGGTTTGGAATCCTGGTTAAGACAAGATTTATTTTCATGCCAGGCCATGGCACAGCCAAGTCTTCAGTAAGGAATAGAAGAAAAAAAGTGTTTTTTTGTTTGTTTTTTTTTTAAAGTGAGAAGAAGGTAAGGAGATACAACAGTGAATAATAAAACAGTCAGAAAAAAAATATTAAATATGACTGAAATGCTAACTAGTGATTAAACTGCAGAACATCCCAAAGGAGAGATAATGGCTTCCTTCTCACCATTGCGTTCTACTCATTATAGCCCCTGACGAAGGTGCACTACTATAGCACCGAAAGGCGCGTCGGGTTGAAGGATTTTTTCCTTCACTTTTTCACTCTTTCTCACTTATAGGGCACTGTATCACTATGTGCAGGTAACCAACGCTCTAAGTATGGTTCTGCACATTAGCATGATTTTATTCTAACACTTTAATTTTCTTTCTTTTCCTGTCACTCCTATATGTGTGGTCTATTGTGATTATTATTATTATATTTATTTGATGGCTATTTGCCTGGAGACGGACTATGGTAATTATATAATATTTTTGCGATAGAAGTTCATATACCAGCAAGCACTTAGCTGACAAGTTAATAAGTTGGTATTTGATACATATCCTATTCACAGAGTTACGGTTTTTTGCTAATTGGCAAGTGTTTTATTTCTATTGCTCATTCATCTGTACTCTATATAGGCTATTTTGTAGCAACAGTAGTTGGATACTATTATTAGAGGGATCTTTTTGACCCTCTTTATCTTTGCTACTTAGTAGTTATACTATACTTTTTCAGCTACCATTAAGTCTGATCTGTTGACTTGATGTATTTATTATTATTATTTTTTTTTCTCTTTAGACCACAGGAGTTTACTATAAGGCTCTTTGAATTTTATGCATATGTTTTAGACATGGACAATTCTAGTTGATTATATTAAAGTCCTGCGTTCAAACAAAATTAATGCATAAGAGTCCTTTTTAGACAGGAAAATAGCCATTTGGCTACGTTTATTCACTTTGTTCCATATATGAACACTCTATAGATTTTTATGATTCATCTTATTATTGGTCATATTTACTTATTTGCTTTTCGATCTTCCAGTGTTTTCTTGTTTCTGGTCCTAGTAACCAGTCACAAGAAGCTTGTTGTTTAGACTCTGGGTTTCACCCATGGAAGAGCACCTGCCTGTCAGCTGATAGGACACAGAAAAGGAACAAAAACCATCCCAAAAGTATAAGAGGCTGGACTCCCTTCTTGTGCAATCTCTATGCAAGGTTATCATCAAGTATTTTTGTTATGACCAAGTCTAATTGAAGTAATTTATTTTTCACAGTGGCTAATTTAACCGTAGGTTAATAAGTTGTATGCATGGTTATAAAAACCATGCAAGACATAAGAAGCTATATATACAAACATGGTGTATATATGTATGTGTGTGTATATATATATATTAATATTACCACTGCGCGACCTGGAGCTAGAGCCTTTGGGGTTAAAACATTTGAGAACGGTTTAACCCCTTAAAGGAAAGAGAGCACCCAGGGGCTTCCTGGCATCATAGCATTTTCATTTAGGTGAAGTTGTTATGGTGACCAGAATGGTCCTTTAATTTGCTTAAAGGAACACTGTAGTGTCAGGAATACAAACATATATTCCTGACAGAATAGTTGTGAATACGCTATTCACCCTGGCTTTATGTGATAATGACTATGCCCCTTCCCTTCAGGACACTGTCAAAAAGGGGCCAAGCATGGATGTCATTACAATTCCTGCGGACGTCCATGAAAACATATTATGTAAAATGGATTTTAGATTTTCACGGACTAGGTGTCTCGAAATAGCTTGGTTTTAGAAGTCATAATTTATGTTTACATTTTAAGACAAAAGCAACAAATCAGTCACTAGAAGCAAAAGGACATTGGGTCTGGTTTTAAAACTCCCTTCATTTAAACAAAGGAGACCGATTATGGTTCATGGTACTAGATTCAGATGCAGGAGAAAATCCGGTTTACTAGCTACTGTGAAATATAAACTTATTATTAACATTACGAAATCAATAGTATTTCAAATGTCCAATCAAATAATGTCCCTGTACTGTAGATAAAAGTATGCAGAATCTCCACGATTTACACAGAGTAAATTGCACTTATTTGACGCTGGACGTCCTCATGGAGTCCAGCGCCAAAAAAGATCCCCATAGGAAAGCATTGAGTAATGCTTTTTTTATGGGCGGGTTTGAATGCGCACGCGCCTCTGGCTGCGAATGCGCATTTGGCTCCACTCGGGAGTTGACGACAATGGAGGAGGAGAGGTCACCAGTGTCAAGGGAGCCTGCCGCCAGATTAAGGTAAGCAAATAAATGGTTAATTAACCATTTATTCGCAACGGAATAGGCCCTAGTCAGCTAATACATATTTGTATTCCTAACACTATAGTGTTCCTTTAAATTTACTTTGAATTCCCATTTAATTCCCTGACAGGATTATTAACAAGCGATCATAGTCAAGAATTAAAATACAAGGACAAAATAGCCAAACTGAAATAAAATCTCCAAGTCGACTATGCTTCCAATTTGACTACTTGGGCCTTAATTTTCAAATTCACTTTTCTAAACAACTATTCTAAAAGTAAGGTAACTAACTGCACGAGGGAAGCCTGTTTATTATGCTAGGAGTAAAACCTTTTCCCAAGGTTCCCGCTTACCTTTCAAAGGTTCGGTGACATCCTTTCCAGTAAATACTGTAGGTTTGGTGAGAACAGCAGGAGTTCTGGTGAGTTTCTCTCGCTCAGCAGTCTTGGGAGTCTCTGCTTTTGGGGGAGGAGGTATGATTTCCAGTTGGGGAGAGGGAGGTAGTATGGCCCCAGTCTGCTTGGCTAAAAAGCTAAGAATGTCTTCTTTAAGGATGCGACCATCCCTTCCAGTACCGACAATTTCGCTAAGTTTTATCTGGGGGGTAGGAACAAAAATAAGCACTTAACAGGTAGGTTTTTACAACTTCCAACATGAAATTGGGATTGCTGAAAACACTTGTCTCTATCCTATTAATTTGAAGATATATTTGTGTAGAATGGCTAAGAATAAAAAAAAAAAAAATACACCGGTTGCATGGCACAGCTCAAAGCCAGCCGTAATGACAAGCAAACCACTATGGTTGCCTCTTTAGTTAGCATCTTTTTAAAAAAGTGTGTTCTGTTGGGTACCAATTATTTTAATGCAGACTTGCAAGGTTTCTTCTTAAAACCATCTCCATAGAAGAGAAAACTATGGTTGCCCTAGCATTACCCACCTACACTAATAAATCTGCCAATATTGAGAAATGGTTCACTTTACACCTAGTAGAGTGACCATAAAAAGTAATTATGTGATGCTTGTAGCCACAAAATACAACATCTTGGTTTGAAACAATCAATTATATACATGATTAAGTTATTCACGCCTAAAATGTTTTGTTTTTTTTGTGGTTTCTCTCATTGTATAAATAAATGTGTTTTTATGGGCTCTGTAACCGTAAAACCAAGTTCATTTTTGTTGTTTTCAATTTCCAATTGTTGTCTGACAGTGCTCATCTCAGGCTGGAACTCCAGTAAGCGCCATATTTCTCCCTTGTTATCTATGGTTATCTGAATAACGCTGACTTATTTCCCATATTGTGCCTAAACTTTTAGTCCACAGACCCTTTTTCAATGGATGTTGCACTGAAAAGGGCTGTGTGGTATCAAAACGTTTGTGTTATGTATGTTCCTCGATAAAACTGTATTGTAACACCGGTGTGCACATTGCAGCCTGAAGAGCTTATTCCCTTTTTTTTTTTTTTGTTTCTACGGATAGCATTCATCGTAAGAGCAGCAGTGATTTGAGGTACACAGCAGCTCAGCATGAAGTATATTTTTCTTGTTTCTAAGGTACTCCAATAACCTTATTTCCCATTTTATGGAAATATATAGTCTGCTGCAAAGCTCACATTGTTTTCCATTGCTAGTCGTCGGACAGCTGGAGTGGCCAGAGTTTTGTGTCCCTTTATTTCTTGATGTGTGTGTTCTTCATGAGACACTGCAGGGGTTTCCACAACATCTTCTTCAGGTGTCACATCTGGAAATAACAACAACACAGGTCTAAGAAAAAGGGATCACAATGTATTGTGCAGAAAACATACTAAGCACATTAACTGCTGAATACTTATCACAGGAGTAGCAAGCTTAATTTAGCAAATGTGAAGGAGAGAACTGATTGACACTTCTATATTCATCATGGATTTTGTTCCTAACATAACTGTAGGTACAGGGTAGAGTTTACATTTTCCCAAACGGACAAATATTCACCTGGACACAAACGAATAAGGTGTCTTTACAGAAAATAATCAGATATACAGCTTGTCCTTTCATAACCATAGTAATAGATTAAATTAAATTAAACTAGGCTAGAATTTCAGTGATCCAGAAAGGAAAAAAAAAAAAATAATTAAGCACCTGGCCTACAGAGCTTTACCATAGAGCGCCCATATCTTCTTCTTTTATGATAGATATATATATATATATATATATATATATATATAAAATGATATTTGCCACATTAGCTTGCATACCTTTCACAACGTCTGTTTCAATGTCTACAAGAGGCTTTCCCACCAGCGCAATGTCATCCACATTGTAATGCAGCTTTCTGATAACACCATCATAGCGACTGGTGATGGTCACTGAAGCTTTGTCACTTTGAACCTCACAGATACTGTCAAACTGGGACACAGAATCACCTTCCTTCACATACCTGAGAATATAACAGAACAGAATTTTAGGCCAAAACAGAAAAATGGAAAATAGTGTATTGATCTGAAATCAAATTCAATGTTTCATACTATTTTTCATTACACTACAATTGGCACTTTTTTTTTGAAAGTGTAGCTCCAAACAGATTTGTAGTGCATTAAGAAAAAAAACTAATTGCAAAGTGATCAATATATGCAATTTAAAAAACAAAAACAAAAAAAAAACAAAAAAAAAAAAAACACACCACCTCTACAGCTTGGCTATTTTAACCTGATGTTCTCATTCAGTTTTTCCATTCATTGCAATTGATTTTCTAGTGAACAGATCCCATTACAAATATAATTTTAGCATAAACTGAATGACTGATTTGATGGTTCTCTCGAGCACTGCTAGTGTTAAGTATCAGGAAGAGAGAGGTAGGATGAGTGTACAGCTTGTATAATCAGTGGCTGTACTGGTGTATGATGCAAACAGGGATAACAAGGTCTATACAGAGACATATAGCTCATATGCTACTTGGTCATGAAAAGGTTGATTTCAGGGAGCTTGTCCCCAATTAACTTTCAATACCTTGAGGGCGGGCCTAACCAGCATGGCCGACAGATGTGTTTGTGGCGAGCTCCTCATACAATCCAAGCAATCCACAGTACAAGATTGAAGTGCAACCCCCAAAACAGTTATCAACGAGAACACTTAACCACCACTTACTGGCGGGGAGCCCTCTCAGGCAACTTGGATGTCACGTCCACCGACCCAAGGCCAGAATCAGCTCCTGAGGCCTACTCACCTGGCGGATCCCACGGAGGGAAGAAATGACCGATCTTCCAATCTGGGACCACTGGGCTAACAGCTGAACCCCCCCCCCAGACTGGTGGAGGAAATCCCGGTCCCGGACCCACTGGGGAAGAAGCAATCATGTACAACAGACATCCTGTCAGCCTGTGCTGCCACATCTCACTCCCGGGCCACAACCAAAATGGCCGAAACAGCAGGGAAGCTACCTGTGACTAATTGGGAAGCCAAATTCCAAGCCGACTTTGACAGGATCTATACAGCGTTCTGGTGCCAGATTGCATCCCGTGCAGAACAGACGCCTACGACCCCTGCCACACAGCTCAAGACGGCAGTCCTTACAACAAAGCACTCGTCAGAGCTGGAGACTTGTCTGGGGAAAAGCCCCAGCACATGCCGCCACACGAGTGGACAATGCTGTTGTCTTGGCCGCTCGCCCTTCTTCTGGGCTTGGTGCTCACCTGGAGGTACCTCTCCTTCGCCAACCATACACCAGGGGGAACGACCGGGACTTGGTGGAACCTTGAGCCCACAATCCTGATGATGGTATCAATGGTCAAATGGCATGAGCTCCCGTTAAGGCCTCAGGCCGAAAACACGTGGTACTCAGGCGACACAAGTCCACGACCTGCTGGCGGCGGATTGCAACATGGAAGGTCAAACGATCCTATGGCCAGAGAGGACATCCCAGAGGAACAAAGTGGATGCCAAACCAAGTAGGGGGCAGGCTGGTTTCCCCCCACGGCCCGATGGACTGGCTTCCCCATGCCATAACATCTCATCCTGTGGCATGGGCTGAGTACACTGGTGGACATACTGCTAGGCCAGTTACCCTTGCTAGATGTATATAGTTGATTTACTCGTAATGACAGACACAGAGGGTTAAGGATAGTAACAGATGATATCTATAAGCAGTTCACATTAACTGACAGGCTCATTATACCCTTTAGTGCTATGCTACGAGCTGGAGTGTGGAATGCCTAGGCTTTTTTTTAAGCATGTTTACATTCCCTGGGGTATTTCTTACTAAGCAACATGTCAGCTGTAAAAATTTATATACTTAGACCCTTCATATGTATACCGCAGACATGCAAAGCCTTCACCAAGTCACATAAACTTTTACCTAAATACCTATAAACCATGGAATAGAGACAGCTTTTCCTATGATGTTTGAGTTATAACTTTGTTATTGGTCTTGACACAACTACCTAGCATGTTTATACTCGTTATACTTAAAAACAAAAAGGGGGGCATTTATTTGTCAGTTAGTACATCATAACCTTGTTTCTCCACCTTTTTTGTTTTATCACTGACATGATTACCATCCTGCTTGCACTACATGTGGTTTTATTTTCCTTTTATCATCTTCACTGAGATATAGGCATTACTCGTTTTAAACTATAAGCTATATGTCTCAGCTCTAGTTTGTTACATAACTATGCAGCTTGTACTACTCATATCCCAATTAAGCCATATCACCTTACAGGTAGCAATTAGACATGAATGTTTTACTCTTGTTGCACGCAGTTACCTTAAAGGACCACTCTAGGCACCCAGACCACTTCAGCTTAATGAAGTGGTCTGGGTGCCAGGTCCTTCTAGGGTTAACCCATTTTTTCATAATTATAGCAGTTTCAGAGAAACTGCTATAATTATGAATGGGTTAAGCCTTCCCCCTAATCCTCTAGTGGCTGTCTCATTGACCACTAGGAAACGCTGCGATAACTTCTCACTGTGAAAATCACGGTAAAGGAAACACGCGCTCCAACATATAGGAAAGCATTATAAATGCTTTCCTATGGTTTCTGACTAGTCTGTGGCGCAGCTCTTTACCCTTGGCAGCGTCGCGTCCAGCAGTAGGGAAGGTAGTCGGGCCGGAGGAGGAGAGCTCTCCGCCCAGCGCTGGAAAAAGGTAAGTTATTACCCCTTTCCCCCTTCCAGAGCCGGGTGGGAGGGGGACCCTGAGGGTAGGGGCACCCTCAGGGCACTATAGTGCCAGAAAAAACGAGTATGTTTTCCTGGCACTATAGTGGTCCTTTAATATTTTATAATAATTTTCTAGCCTGATATACGGTACCTTGTCTTTTTATTATAAAAATGTGGCAGCCTTCGTTACTCCGTTATACGTTGATACTCCTGTTTTATGTTTATCTGATACGACTCCTTTTTTCTATTCTGTAAAATGTGACGCAAATGCCATATTAAAAGAAAGATTTACAAAAAAACAACAACCTTTCAATACCTTACCCTCAAGATTATTCACTGAACCAGATATTGCACATTTTAGACCAAAATGGCAGAATTGGAAGCATACTCTAACTCAGCTATTTTAGCCTATACTTTGGTATTTTCTGTTTACTTCCTGGTTTTTAGTGAATAACTATCAGGTGGCTTAATGTGTTAAGTGTGTGTCAGAATCTTGTAAATACTTGGAATATCCATTTGGAGGCATAGCTTTTCCATTATCATACAATCCTTTATCCACTGGCTCTCTTTCACAATTTAAAGACAATATGTACGAGACACTGGGCTATATCACAATCAAGGTTAGGAAGTGAGGCAGATGGAAGTTTCAGTCATCGAAGGCCAGCTAACTTACTAGGCAGGCCAATGACCGAGTGCAGATATGTGATTTTATGCAATTTACATACAAACGCGCAGGTTTGGAACCAAATTGGTTTTATATAAACATGGCAGATTTATTCACACCTACACTGCTTTTGTTAAAAAATAGAAATAGTACATTTTATATTCTTAAAATGTCTGGGAATTTAGAATGCTCCAAACGTAATAAGATTTCAGACAGCTCAATAAAAAATAAGTACATATGCACAAACCGATGTGTCTCAAAAACTAGTTTTCCATTGACTGCAAAGACAAAAGAGGAACCGAATTTGAGATAAATTACTGCACTTGAATTGGGTTCAACTATGAAAAATGATGAACGCTACTGGCACCAGGATAGTCACCTCCACATTACATACCAAAAAAATAAAATAAAATAAAAGACAGGTAGTAAGTAGTGTGTGCATCCACCATACCCCCAAATAACATGCTGCATCCCGAATAATAGATCATTGTATTTCTTTAAAGAGACATCAAGTTATTTTATGATATGTCCATCAACAAGCCTGACTGAGAAAAGCTAAACAGGTTCATTGATGTTTGGTGTTGGCAACAAAAATAAAATTGACCTACCAGTCTTTTACAGTAACTTCTGTGATCCCTTCTCCAATGTCCGAGAGCTTGAACTGCAAAATCTTACCATTCACAACTGTGTAAACATATGAAATACACTGGTTATTGTAATAAGACAAGTAGAAGATGCAATGTAGGGTAAGCACCCATGTGGAGTTTCACGTGGGCAGAAACCGGTGGGAAAATCGTGGAGTAGGTAACAATGTTACCTGCATTTTATGGATATTGGACTACAATATTAAAATCAGGTAATGAGGTGCATGGGAAACAAATCCCTCTTTTTTGACAGCGTGCTTCAACAAAATTATGTATTTTTATGCATTTCAGTAGTCTGGCACTTGAACTAGAATATACAGAGGCTGGTGCAGGTTGATGGAACAGAATTTAGAATGCACACACCGTTCAGTCTATCAAATACAGAATGTATGGCTAATTGTGAAGGGATGTAGATTACATGCTGATATTAGAAATGATTAAGTGTAAATGGTCTTCCTACCCACTAAATGTCTTTATGTTTCCTCAGTAAACCCCATTTATGTTTTACCCTCAAAAGGTGCAGTTCCTGAGGGGGGATACTCTAGCTGAATCTTCAGAACGACCATCACCAGAGAGCTATCACCATCACTAGTATGGAGCGGGTACATGCAAAACAAATTTGAAAAAAATGAACTGCATGCATGAGAGGTAACATGGAGATGTAATGGATGCACCCAAAAAGATAGTTAATGAGGAAGAATTAATGCAAAGGAATAAAAGACGGACAGTGTGCACGCAACATGAAAAAACACAGACTGTATAGTACGGGGAGCCTTCCAGAAACCAAGACTCAGTAAAACCTACTTAACATGTTTCTGTATGGTGACGTGTTTTGCTCTAAAATAGTAGACTGCCAATCTCAATGCTTAAAGTTGGAGTGTGAGGGCAAAATGAAAGTGCAGTAAGAGGTGAATAAAACCATGAAGCTCTTACCATACAACTTTAAAAGTAAATAAACATACAAATCTACAGCATTCCATCGCTACACAAATAAAGCGAATGTCAAGACTGATTGCATGCAATCAAAGTGGAGAACGGAGAGGCAACATACACGCAACATTATTTACCAGATGAAGTCCTGAATAGCCTGTAGTGTGAACTGCGCAGGACTCCAGAGTGAGACAGGAGGTGGTGTGATAATCTGACCAATGGAATCCTGCTGTTTGAACTCAGGTCCCAGAAATTGACCTAAAGGAAACAAAACAGGTTATCGTATCAGTGACAGCATTGCTGCAACACACGTTTCCCTGGATATTCATGGCAGGCAACATAGCGCCATCCTGCAGTATGTTGCAGGTAAGAAAACAATTCTCAGGTAATTCACAAGAGTGTGTGAATTGCAAAGAATTCACGCAGGGCTGTTCCCAAGAATTCTGAATTGAAGCGAGCAGAAATCTTAATGGCAACATTGATCATACAATGCCTTTATCTGGAAAAACTCTAAAACTCAATTACAGTCACAGCCAGGTAATTTCAGCTTACATTTTGCCACCTGGACTTCAGAGTTCGATGAATTTACCATTTTGGACCAGGACGGCCAGTATGGAGACATTAAGTCACTTTTGTTTTCAATTGGGCTGTTTTGTCTCACATTTAGGGAATAGCTTTGATTATTTAAAGAGGAACCAATGTAGTGTGAGAAAGCAGCCCAGGAGAATAAAACACAGTTAATCAGAATGATTATTATTTTAATTAATCAGAGTTTATTCACATTGTTAAGGCAGACAGTACTACAAACAATGATGATGATAATGATGATGAGTTGACCTTTACATTATATAATGACACTGACAGCTAGTCCAGCACACCCCAGAGTGCTCACACAGCTCCTGGTGCCTTAGCATGATGGGAGTTGGAGTCCTCTCACTGTATCCTGTGCTGCCTGTCCTCACAGAGCAGATTGCATGCTGTGTGCTCTATATCCAGGCACAGCATGGCATGGACTGTGCCCTTACCCCAGGCCAGGGGTCCTCAAACTCCGCCCCCCCAGATGTTGCTGAACTACAACTCCCATGATTCTCTGGCTATCTATGTAATTCAAAGAATCATGGGAGTTGTAGTTCAGCAACATCTGGGGGGCCGGAGTTTGAGGACCCCTGCCGCAGGCCATATTTACACACTAACACCGATAATATATCATTGTTATCAGGCCATGAGCTATTAATAAAATGAGAAGAAACGCCCTCTGGTTGCTCACCAAACGGCCTAATGACCGGTTCCAGCTCCTTACTGCTCTCACCGCCGCCATCTTCTCCGGGGCAATCCGGAGAACCAATCACATCGAGAAGCTGACGGAGATAGCCAATCGGGACATGAGGGCGGAGTCAAGATGTCAATGCCAAGGAGAAGGGGGAGTAGTGAAGGCGTGCGGGCGTGTTGACCAATCAGAGCTCAGATCAGTCAGCGTCTGCCTGGGGCATTAGGGGGCGTGGTTTATGGAGCTGTCAGTGTTTGTTCTATAAACATTACCCCACATACAGATAGTTTAGACTAGGTCCTCCATAACAGACACTGGTCATACAGGTTTAATTAGGAAGTTTAATTAAATGTAACAGGCCTAGTTTATGACTTGGTGAATAGGAATTGCCATTTCAGAGAAGTACATTTTTTATTTTATATTCTTAATTCTTTATTTTTGGACAGCCAAAATACCAAACACATGTTTACAGGAAAGACACCCAAGTACCAGATTCTTTGGTATACAAAAGCAGGCAAAAGCATAAACAGTTTTACAGTTTTGGTAATGGCAACGTTCTCCGAGAAAACCCGATAACAGTTATACCTGTAGCATAGTGTACTACAAAAAGTAGCTCTTAGTGGGTACTGTATAACTGCTTTTTCTTTTTAGTAAAAGATCACAATAAAAGTTTTAACAGCATCAGTTGCTCCAACGTGTTCGCTTCAATTGTAAATAGTACAACTACCACGTTCCAGGCTGGTTCCAGGTGCCAGTGGTCTGCAACTAGACTGCCAACCGCCCCCTCATAATAATTATCCTTCTAGTCCCCCAAGTCGACTAGATAAGTAATAATTTAAGAGTTCCTCAAATTCACTCATAGAATCCTGGAATACAAAATACATATATGTATTTCTTTTTGATCAGGCCGAGGAAGGATAATTAAAGGGACACTATAGTCACCAGAACGACTACAGTTTAATGTAGTTGTTCTGGTGAGTATAGTATGTCCCTGCAGGCATTTTAATGTAAACACTGCTAGGGGTACCTCCAGTGGCAGTCACTAAGACGGCCACCAGAAGTGCTTCCTGGATCAGTGCTGCACAACCTGCAGTACTGATGTTCAGCATCTCCACACTCTGCACGCTGAACGTTCCTAAAAGAGATGCATTGAGTCAACGCATCTCTATGAGGAGATGCTGATTGTGACAGAGCAGGGTTTTGTTCCGCATGCGCAATAGCCTCCCAACGCTTTCCTATGCAGTTGGAGTTAGCGGCGCGCAGGATATTAGCAGCTTGCAGGATACTTACAGCGGTCTCAGCATGGTCTCTGCAGAGCAGGGTAGCGCAAGGGCAGCATCCAGGAACCCTGTGCCTGGAAGAGGTGCCATGCAGTTTGAAATATGATACAGCTTTCAGTGCCTCTAGCCCTCATCTGAGGATGTAAGAGAAGGCTGCTTGCTGTGTGTATTTGTTTATGTATGTATTAAGCAGTGTGTGTGTCTCTGTCTTTATTGAGCAGTGTGTGTCTAGATAAGCATTGTGTTTGTCTGTCTCTACTAATGTCATTCTGGCCCTGGCATCACTAAATAGTGCACGAGAGAGCAGAACAAGAAGGGTTTGAAGATGACAGCAGCCCCACTGGACCCCAGAGACAGGATCCCCACTTGACCTCAGGAAAAGGTGATCCACTCCAGCTCTCCCAAAGACAGGGAGACTCGGTGGACTTAAATTAAATTAAAACAAATAACTTGCGTGTGAGAGAATGTGTGTGTGTGTCTGTCAGTGAGTGTATGTTTAGCTTTCCGGCCCCCTCCTATTGCATGGCAATGGTGTTTTTACTCACCTATTTTCCCAGCGACCAGTCCCACCTCCATGGCTGAAATAATCAAGCTTGAGGATCTCATTGAATCAATGAATCTCTACGAGGACCGTTCAATGTCTTCATGCAGAGCAGTGGCCCTCTGATTGACTGCCACTGGAGATATCCCTAGGCAGTTACGTAAACACTGCCTTTACTCTAAAAATGCTGTGTTTACATTAAAAACCCTGCAGGGACAGGCTTTAGACACCAGAACAACTACATTAAGCTCTAGTTCTAGTAACTACAGTATAGTGTCCCTTTAATTATCATGATATAACAAAATGGGTGTGGGTGTGGCTTGGGGGGGGGAGCATTTCATCCTTGGTCCCAGGCAGCACAATGTTAGGCTAGTCGCCCCTTTAATCCTATAAAGAGGCATGTAGACCTTGTTGCTGCAAAGGCTCAAGGAGACTACACTAACAAGATACAGCAATTAGCATATAATATGCAATCTCCATATCAAATATAATTTATACAGCGGGATCAGGTGATGGGTACTCTGGTTTTACATTTATTTAACCTATCACCTGCAAATTCACTGGACTCTGTGATACAGGAGTTTAAAGCGACACTCTAACACCATAACTACCACAGTTTGCTGTAATAGTCATTGTGCCAATAATCCCTTGCTCCTATCCCCCGGTAAGAAGTGAAACTGTGTGTGAACAGTTTGATACTGACGTGCCACTTTGAGCAATGTAGCTAATGGAGATGTTCTTATTCCACTTTCACATCACTTTTTGACAAATATTTGGTTTGTTCACTGGCTGAGAGTCAACTGACACAAGTGTTAATAATGCTTAGTGTGATCCATTATATTTTCTATGGTGTTTGGTCTATTCATTTTTATATATAGTGCACATCAAATCAAATAGTGCAATTCTACAAATTAATCCATAAATTTGCTTTAGTGAAATGCAATTTTGACTGAATTTTGCATTTTTGGGGTGATTTCGTTTAGTGAATTCACTAAACCTTGAATTGAAATATGGCAAAATTTGAGGCTAAAGTAGCAGAGCTGTGACTATATCTCTGTTGGATACTTTATCAGAATCTGCTGTGATTCAGAGTTTTTGTTATTTTACTTTTTATTGTCTAAAAAATTGCAATTTCTATGTCAATTTTCCATTTAGTTAATAAACCCTATAAATATAAAATAATAATAAAAAATATATTTGAAACAAAAAGGTAACTGAAACACTTTACTTTCCACTACACTATAATAAACTTTCTTTGGTAGGGGTGGGGAATGCTAAGCCGTCACCTGGAGTTCACATCTAAACACAATTACTATTATTATTTCTAAAACGCCAGCAAATTCTGTAGCGCTGTACAATAGGTGGACTAGCAGACATGTATTTGTAACAAGATGGGTTAGAAGCACAAGAACAGAGGGTGTTGAGAGTCATTCTCAAACGATCTTGCAATGTTAATATAAACCAACCTAGATGGTTCTCTCCAGCACTGGTAGTGTTAAATCACAGACAGGAAGAGGCGGGCCGTGTATATATGGAACCGGCAGAGAATTCACATACAGGTTGTACAGTACTCTGGGTTACTTAATGGTAATACTGCTGTATGATGCACTGCAGACAGTAACAAGGTATCTACACACAGACACATAGCAGGGGGTTTGTGCTAATGGGGTCTTGAAAAAAAGCTTAGTATAGGGAGCATGCGCTGACTTAACTTTTATACACTGTAACATGTAACGTGTACTTTCAATATATCCCTTTACGTGTGTGCATATAAATATACACACACTCAAATGTATACATTTACTGTAGTGGACTGCATTTTATAATCACTCCCAAGAAAACCTGATCACTGTAATATATTGTACATACAGATACATGTCTGCTCGGAATTCATGGCCCTGTCATATGTGGGAGGCTGGGAGCCCATTAAATGCAGTAGTCCTGTTCTTTCGAAAACATATATGGCACCTTTTTTTTTTTTTTGCTGATATTTTTTTTTTTTTTTTTTTACATTGATCACATGCTTGGTGTTTACAGGCCACAGTTAATGTTACTAGCTGACTGAAATAGGCAAATAAAAAAGTCAATTTCAGGATAAACCTAAGATTTGGGGGTAATGAGGTTTTCTAGTCTGTGTCGTAACAGGTGGTACCTTTGTATTTGCTAATGCTACAATTTAGACTTTTTCTTACATAGTTGCTTTTGTTGTTGTTAACCTGACATTCGGATTAAATGTGCCCTAGAGGAATTGGTGCTAACATTGATTAAATGCAATCCAATTTGCTTTTCTTTAATAGCTGCTGCGTACAAGCTTCCCCCATCACTGTGCTGTCCATTATTCACTTGGAATCAAGTTGTGGAATAGCCGGAGTTGCCACATTGGAGTCGGTAAGAAGTTTAGTTATTGTCTAAACACACTCTTTAATTCCTTTATGACAAGAGGTTAGCCAAGTCCCATCACATCAAGGTAACCTTTAAAGAGACACTCCAGGCCAGGGGTCCTCAAACTCCGGCCCCCCAGATGTTGCTGAACTACAACTCCCATGATTCTTTGGCTATCTATGTAATTCAAAGAATCATGGGAGTTGTAGTTCAGCAACATCTGGGGGGCCGGAGTTTGAGGACCCCTGCTCTAGGCACTCACACACGCTGAATTAAATGTGCAGATTAGGTTAAAGTTAGTTATACTAGATTTTTTTTTCTTTTCTTTTAATTAAAATAACCAGTAAAGCACTGTGTAGTAGTTATAGTTCCAGAAGTTCCCTGGTGCTATCCCAGCACTGCTCTTTAATTGAAACTGCCATGGGCACTAAATATATATTTGTTAGCAATTTTATTTACTTTTAAAAGGAATGTGTATTTGTGTTGAGAGGTACAGTTAAATATTTTTGTTTTGTTTGTTTTTAGCATGTGGCATCAAATTGTTATGCAGAAAATTCCTTAATGAAATGTTCAAGATGTTGTTTATCCCTGTAAGACAAACTGTTACATACTGTAGGCACTATAAACATTCTAAAAAACAGAAATGTGAAAAGTGTGTAAATACTGAAATGACCTGAATAGTGTGTGTGTTTTTCAGCATTTGCTCAATAAAACTTTAAAAAAAAAAAACTATCACATGGTGTAAACTGTTTTAAACAATAATTGTGAACCGTGTCTTTTCATTTTTCACTCATATCCTGTGCCACTCAAGTTGAAGAGGCTTGTGGTGTTTTATAGGGTTCCCCTTTACCCCTATGATGGTAATTGTGGGAACCTCCGCATAAAACAGAGAATATTATAATGGTGCAGTATATCAGGACTGCTATAATAGCAATGGGTCAAATAGACACGTGCACTAGAGTCTTCCAGACTTGACTTCCAGGGTTTAAATGCCTCAAGCGGCTGTCACTCTGACAGTCACTAGAGGAGTTTCTGCAGAAATATAGCCGAGTAAAAGATGGCTAGATCTATCAGATAATCTCATAGACACCATCTGTTTGGCCATGGGTGGTATGCCGCGCATGCGCTCTAGCCTCCTGATGCTTTCCTATTCATTGAAGATGGAACTTTCCTGCTGAGACTGGCGTGGTGAGGGCTGAAATGTAAATAATACTCACACTTTCAACCCTCACATGTAAGGGGGCACATCGATACTGTAAACTAGACGCTATAGCACCAGGAATACATGTTTTCACTCCTAATGCTGTAGTGCTCCTTTAAACCACTAAAAGCAATTTAACACAGAAGGATGGCACCAGTGGAGACCTGACCATATAACCACTTCAATGAGTTGATGCCATTACAGTACCTAGCGTGTCCCCACATTTTTAGATAGGGTTACTGTACAAAAGGATTTGTGAATTGCACATTCTGTGTTTTTTGTTTTGTTTTTTATTATTCTTTTCAGTATAAATTCTGCTGTTTCATAGCAGTGTCTGCAAATATTTTGTATATTATTACGCCATACAGTTTACAAGGCAACATCTGCAAAACGTCAACTAAACAAGATGGCAGAGGAAAGCGCCATCATGGAAGTAGATGGTGGAATCATGGAGGGGGTGAGTGACGTCTTAATCTGGAGACACTATGCTGTACAGCCGTGTGTGCATGTGTAATGTGGTTGGTAATTCTGCTGTGTTTTGATTCTGACTGTTGAATATTGGAAGATCATTTCTTGTTCTTTTCATTTATTTATTTATTTTTGAGAATATAGAAAATTTTTTCTTATACCAGGCCTCCAATGGCTGTTAGATTGCTCATGAAGAACCTTTAAAAATTACATTTCCATCAAAAGTTTACATTTGACTCATTTTAGCTATACAAGTAAAATGCACATTTTGTTACATGTGCCGGTTCCACCATTCCCATTATTAAAGTAACTTCTTTAAAATGATTTGAACCCATTCACAACCAAACACAAATGTTAAAAATGTGCATGTATACCTCCTGTTTGTTCTGTGAATACATCACACTTGCATTTTTTCTCTTGCAAACTAATATCATTTGTACAATATAGCCTTTGTCCAGGTGGGCAGGCCACTTTGTTAATATGGGAAAACATTTGGTGTCATCACGCCTAGCTAAATGCTCATGCTTCTCATATTATCTCCGCACTCTACTATTTACTGCAGGGTGGTCAGATTCTCAGAATTTCCACTGCTCTCAGCTGTCTACTAGGGATACAGACACGCGTCGTAAGAATCCGAGCTGGCCGCAGCACTCCAGGACTCAGGTGAGTACCCTGTAGACCTGATATAATCCATGGCTAGCTCATTAGTTGCAGTTTAAATAAAAATCCTATGTAACTGTCTGTGCAATTATCCAAAAAAAGAACGGCTGTGTATTTGTCTGGCTACACAATGCAGGAGTTCAATTATTCATATTGAGGGAACATTTCAAGCACCATTACCACTTTATATCGCTCTCATTGTATGTAGTCAAACCGTTTTAGAACAGATTGACTTCTGTGCACTGCAGCCCACTTGCATCATCTCAGCCATAGAACTCGAAGATCCTAAGCGCAAATTTAAGTTAGCTCTCCTGAACTAAGCCCTGCAATGAACTTAGCTCATTGGTTGAGAGTATTAACTGATCACACTCTGCCAATGAGCCAACCTGTATGACTTATTGGAATGTTTTCCCCTCATTATCTGTACTCTCAAGACTAGGCTAGGAATCATCATTCAGTATCAAACCAATGGAAAACTGTTTAAAACTGAACAATGGGATGGCACCGGGGACTCCATGCACCACAACCACTTAAATGAAATGCCAATAGTGACCCTTATGATGCCAAGAGTATCCCTTTACTTTTTGCCTGTTTTCAGTGAAATCATACACTCTCTATACAGAAGATGTGTGGAATGTAATTTATACATTACTTTTATTAGGACTGCAACTTACAATCGACCAATTGATGACCCTAGATAATAGGGTCATCAGCAGGTGTCCTGAGGTGACACTAAATTTCAGATGATGCTTAGCAATTACTCAGAAAAGGAAAAGTAAGTGGCTAGCTGATAATCGTGGGAGCTGTGGTTCTGGATAGCTATGTGTTAGCGTAACATTCATCAGTACAATGTTTGATTATTTGACATTTTCAGCTCTTGTTTGTCTTAATATTTCAATTCTTTTGGTAGGGTTCTGCATTCACAAATAATACTTCTGTGTAACACCCTTCTACAGCGCTTAACATTTGAAGTTCTGTGCTATTAGCCAGACCATAACAGTTAATTGCCACTGTATGCCAAAGCATATACTCCTGGGGTGAATTTCTACTTGCCAGGGCTACATTTTCACTCCCTAATGGCCAATGGCTATTCACAATGTTGATCCCTGCTCCACTTGATATATTGCACCTATTTTTCTTTTGTTAATAATGTGATTTGCTATAACTTTCTGAAGGCCTCAACACCTCTCCGGATTGGTGACTGTTCGAGACCTTTGTGCAGGACAATTGGAGAATGCAGAGATTGGATCCACAGAAGTCACTTTCACTCCTGGGAAAATAAAAGGAGGCGCACTGACTGCTGACACCAAGACAGCTGGGTAAGTGAACACACGTAGATGGAAAGCTCCATGGTAATAGTCTGCTCTAAGCAATATTACGCACTGCAATCCGAATCATTCAGATTTGGTTAACATGGGGGCAGGGCCTGACCGCTGAGCCGAGAGGACGCAGAACAGCACTGCTCCTGCTTTACCAGGTAATAATCGCCACATGCCAGCCACAAACAGCTCCCTAACGACCCACAAGGGTCACCAATCGAGAGGTGAACTCACGGGGCACACACTGATACCAAGTATGCTGCCACCCCTGCAGAAACCACCGGTGCGATGCTTGCAGCCTACAAACCTGGTCGGCGCTGGGGAGACGGCTGCTTCCCGGCTGCACCCAAAAGCAAACAGCTGGCAACTGGGCCATTTTTCCTCCCCACACCTTACTAATCTCCTGACTTAATCAGCATTACATTTACATTTTAAAAAAGTGCAGTTTAATCCTATGTCACAATATTGTCATCTTTAAATGGTCTGTAACCGCTATTGTGGCACTGCAGACATGTTTGTACCTACTCTTGCACAACAAAAATAAAAAAATTTGGTTAACATTACTAAATATCAATCAAAATTGCAAGTCTCATATGTAAAAAAGGCCAATCTGGTTATATAATATGGCACTATTTAGTGTCTGCTTTATAATCCATCATTCTCACATGCGAATTCCATATAAAATGTTGGGTAGTATTTATCAAACAAACTGCATTTCAACTAGATTCATTCCGAATAATCAAGTAGAAGGCAAATTCACAAAATATATTCACCCACTTATTACAGGTGCGCTGACAACAGACGTAAAATATGCATAGAAGTGACATTAGGCAGGCCGGAGTTATGGGCTGCCAATGTCTACTGTGCTATGGATGCAATAAGCTCCCAGCACACAATTAACAATAACTCTGTATATGCAGTGTTTCAAGCTAAAACACTGCACATACATACCCCTACCACCATGACCACTTCAAATCACCAAAGTGGTCCTAGTGGTTAGAGTAACCCTTTAAGTAAGTTCCTTTTGCTATGCTGCTACAATCAAGCTAGGTGGTCCATACTAACCACCCCTTATCTATTTTGTATACTGCACTTTTTGTCACACATTCACGGTAATTTACTTTTATTTTTTTTTTTTTTTTTTTTTAATTCTTTATTTTTGCAGTGCATATCAGTTTAACATCCCCGCATGAGGTATCCCAACGACATTCCTCAAGCGTATTTGAAACATATATATATATAACAGTTGGGTCAGTTATAAAACATGCACAATTTTATAATTATGTGATGAGCAAAATTGTTGGATTCGTCCCTTAGCTTATGTGGCTGGTTCTATGGCAAGTATCAACATCTGTATCTAACATAAACTTTCAAGTTTAACTTCGATTATTTAGCTTAGAGTGATATACAGGCTAGTCAAACGTGGAATGGTCTAGGTCTACATATGCATATTCATTCAGTGGTTCACTACCTCTTCTGAGCAATATAATAGGAGTTTGCTTAAAACCTGAGTCTGCAGGTGTGGTTTATATTACATTCATAACAAGAGTATAAACAGACGCTTTTATGAAGTGCTAGCTTAGTTACGTAGGTACTAGCTAGAGAGACAATACGTATTAGGCATTTGTAAGGCATTAGCTAATAGCAAGATTTTGATTAGAGTTAGAGTAGCTTCCGATTAATGAGACATTAGCAATAGGAGAAGACCACTGATGTCCCAGTATTGAAGCCCCACAGTCCCCCGAGCACAGTACTTTTGTGTTGGCTGGTATGTGCATGCTTGTTAGTCCCGCCAATTAACAGGTTTCACTTTCGCCGCTGGCTCCATTGTGGGAAGCGACCGCAGCCCGCCAGCAGGCCTCCCGCAACTGGGGGCGTCCGGTGAGTGCCATTTCGCTTCTACTAGGCTTCGCGTGAGTCTGCAGTCTGTGTCCGCTTCTCTGTCGCTTCTAGTGGTCCGTAACGGTCTGTGTATTCGTTGGGCTGCGGTATGAGAGGCAACCTCGCAGGCGGTCGCGAGGACCAGTCCTGATCTCCGGGTGCCGAGGCTTGAGTGTCTATGTGCTCCATCAGGCGCTGGTGTAGTGAGGAAGCCTGGGGATAGGTGCATCTGGCGGTACCTCGCATTGATGGTCGGTCTGTGCCCAGGGCTGACCACGAGGCAGCCATTTTGTGGTATAACTCTGGGTTCCGAGAGCATGGGAGGCGCAGTGGGATCAGTGAGCGGTGGTGTCGGATCCCTCCAGTGGGGACCGGGATAACCCCCGCCGGTCCATAGGGGGGGGAACGGGACCCGTGAGGAGTGTTTCAGTGCTGCTGCGTGGTTGCTAGAGTTGGAGACAGGACGGCGGCCGTCCATCCCGCTCCCCTCCCGCGTAGGCCGCAGGCCCCAAAGTTTCTTGCAGCCTTCAGGGGCCTCAAAACTCTCGATCTTGGGGTCAGCAGTAGCGCCCACAGCTGCCTGTTCACTGTGCTGCATTTCTGGCTGCGATGTGCCATGTTTTGCGTTCTAAAGGGCCAGATTGTGCAGGAGCCTCTCCCGCATGCGACCGGTCAGCATGGCGGCCAGGCCCCGCCCCCCTTTCCTTTTGTGTTTTATAAGTCTAAAGGTTCAAATTAATTTAACATGGTACACTTTTAAATTTTGGATGAACTCCTTTAGTGGTGTCCCTCTTACGGCGTACACTTTTTGTGAAATTACAGATTCAAGATTGGCTTAAACTCAGAATACGGTTTCCCAGTAAGTACCAGACTCTTTTATAGACTAGTTTAGGTCAATATTCTGCCGAAAACTGCATTTTAGTAGCTTATATGTTGAGATTGTCAAAGAGCAAACACTAGTTGCAACTTTTCAGCATGGTGGTCAAACCCAGACACCCAATTGCGTATTTCTATAATTCTTCTGGATTTTAATAATTTGGCTGCATATGGATAAACTAGATAATATGACAAAATGCCAAAGTATTGCAATATGCAATAATACCTTTTTTATTGGATGAACGTAATACTTAAAAGACAAGCTTTCAAGAATAGTCAGAACAAGTAAATAAACAGAGGAGAGATCCATGAAAAACAGCAGAGAAAGGCATAGAAATATACAGCTGTATGTATAATATATATATATATATATATATATATATATATATATAATATGTGTGTGTATATAAGTTGCTAAAATATAAGTAACAGGGAGTATTGAAAAATAAATAGATATCACTTTAAGATGTTTTAGTAGTGTCAAAAAGCCAGAATCTATATTAAGTTCTTCATTTATGTTGCAGAATGTGTCATAATTTTTATCTTAAATATCGTCCGTTCGTGAGTGGGTCTTTAACGCTCCCTTTAAGTACTTGAGATTTTGGACGAAGTGATCATATGATATCACTATAATCTCACCTCTTTTCTCTCTGTAGGAGTGTGTGTTTACTGCTTCAGGTTTCTCTACCTTGCGTTCTCTTTGCGGAATCTCCATCTGAATTAATCTTCAAAGGTGGCACTAATGCAGAGATGGCGCCACAGATTGATTACACCACAATGGTAACCATATCCTGGAAACCTAATAGATAAAGGGCATTAATTAGATGTATACAGAATTGCAAATGGCTTGTATAAATTGTGTCCCTATTTATTTCATGCACTGTGCTATGCGTTTGAGTTTAAATCGTAATTAATCTATTTCATTCAAATTGTAACTTGGTATGTGTTAAAAGTAATAATTAATGTTTCATCATACTCTCAAAAGTGTATATAAAATATACCATCTGCCATGATTTGGAATGGAGCCGTGCATTTAAAAAAAATCTAATTTATTTTTTTTTTTGTCATTTTTATTTTAAATAAGTCAATCTATAGTCCATTTTAATTATCCACAAAAGTTTGTGAAAGTTAAAAACCGCCCACATGGGCCTCTAAGAAATTCTCATGGTTGTTCTTGTTTTAATTACAAAAATAAATGTTTGGATAGAACATTTTTACACTGTCATCTTTTGTAACCAGTAAAGTGAATAGTATACAATGGTGGACAATTAAACATATTCTATTTTGCCCTATGCATGCATACTTCCAGAAAATATGTCAATACTTATTTTCTTTTTTTGTCCCTGTGCTACAGGTGTTCAAGCCAATAGCAGAAAAGTTTTCTTTCAAATTAGATTGTGACATCAGAAGAAGGTAATGTACACCAGACCTGCATTTTTAAAATATTGTTAATATATTAAGCATTACAGAAATTCAGAATTTCTAAAGCATTGTTTGCAAACCTGGACAAAAACATTCTAATTTAATCCTTGATAGCTTGTCAATTAGCCCTATTAAACCATAGCGTCTATTCTACATGCTCCCATTTTAAGGTGACTGCCATAACTGTGCGGTGTGAAGGTAATTATGCTGACTTGCTAAGTTAGCATTTGAAATGTATACACAAAATAAACTTTATAGTGCGTCTAAGCCTTTCACTGACACCCAGGGCCAGATTAAGAGCCCAGTGGGCCTGGTGCTGACAATTATGATGGGCATAATTACATAATCTTATCGACCAAAAACACTCCCAAGTGTCATGTATCTGATGGAGATGGTGCTGGAGAGAAAGAAAACAGCAGCTATAAGAAAACACATATCCTATGCTAATTTATCTCTAATTTATAGTAAAAACCAAAGGAAAAAAGTTACCTGCGCTCTCTCCTTAATCCCTATGTATCTTTAAACAAATGGAGGACATTTAATTACTCCAATGCCTATTGGAGTAACTAAATGACCTCCATTTGTTTAAAGATACATAGGGATTAAGTAGAGAGCGCAGGTAACTTTTTCCCTTTGGTTTTTACTATATGTATTCGCTGATGTGTACTATAGTCATTGCTGCTGCCCAGGAGTGATGGGAGTGAGCGCAGGACTTTTTCTTTTTGTTTTTGTATTCTCTCTAATTTATGTTTTCATCTTTCAAGTAAATCCATAACCCCTAACAGCAGTGTCCAGTCAAGCAGGAAGTCAATGGGCGGGGAAAAGGGTGCACCACTGGCACAAATCACGTAACCTGCCAAGAGGGGCGAACATGCCCAAAAAGAGTACATGTCTGCCCAGAGAATTGGAAGGCCAGCCTGGCATGAATGCATGTCCGGCTGCCTGTCAATCATGCAGCTGGCCAACTAAGGCATACTATGCAGACAGCACCCTGAGCTTGGCATAAATGCGTCTAATGATGCGCTCGCTCAACGCTTTCTTATGACTGTCCCCTAGCACTCGCTGGTCCACTTGTCTCCTTACCTTCTTACTAGCAGGCAGAAGGGACAGAGAAAAGCTGTATGTAGTGAGTGTAGAAGAAAGGGAACATGCCAAAGTGCTTGAGAGACCAAAGTCAGCATTACCTTAACAATATTCATTGTCAGCCAGTCCACACAAGTTTTGTTCCCATACATCCCTCTTATGTTTCCATATTTAAGCAAGAGTATGTGAAAAGTAGTTGCCACTTTTTTTGGAAAAACATACCGGCCTTACTAATTTGTATAATTATGTATGAGTGACATCACATGATGTAAATCACAAGGAGTGACATAAGAGAAAATGCTGTACAATCACCAAAAAAACTACTTGGTTTGATTCTCCCCATATCTCCCAGTGCCTTCATGACTCAGTGCCCCCATGTGTTGATTAATCCAGGTCTCCGTGTTCCTATGTATCAGTGTCTCAGTGTCCCATGTCTCCCAGTGTCCCCTAGTCTTCCAGTGTCCCTATGTATCACAGTGTCTCAATGCCCAATGTCTCCCTGTATCCTCCAGTATTCCCATACCAAAATACCAGCATTTGTATCGCCAGTTGGAATCCCTAAGAGAGAGGTGTGTGTGTGTTTAAATCAATGGGCCTATTCCAGGGCCTGGGCCTAGAGCTGCAGCTCCATCAGCCCATATGTTAATCCGGCCCTGCTGACACCTACTGGCCACTACCTATTCATAAACCGTGGTATTTTAATTTTCCATATTACTGCAGCCATTAACTATCTGCTCATAATTCTAAAAGGTGCGTGCTCAATTTCTCTTTAATTTCTTTATTTCTTATACATTCTTCCCTCTGTTTCACCCAGCCATCCAGCTTCTAATTGCATATCTTTTGTACAACCCTCCAATACTACTGTCTAAATTTTCATTGGCATCATCCATTATGTTGACATTCACAATTGCATTATTTCCTTGACAGGTGTATAGTCGCCATTTTGGGCAGTCGGAATCCAGGACAATAACCCCATAACCTAACCCAATAACGCACGGACACTAAGGGATATGGGGAAATTTGTCCACAGCTTTATTAAGCAAACAATAATAATAACAATAATAATAATAATAATAATAACTTAACAAGTAAAACATGGGTCATTGCCCCCCATACTCCGCCCTCGCATCCTATTCCTTCCATTAACATATAAAGGGCAATGACCCCCATATAAATAAACATATATATATAACATACATCAACATTATTCCAATCGATGTAAAGTGCCAACCATCCATTAGCCACGGCAGGGGTATACCCGGATACCCCTACCCCACCAGGTTCTGAGCCACCGACAGGACTCGAAACCTATCAACCACCGATGACCACCACTTGTTTGTTTTCCATTACGTTCATCCTGGGGAGCCTATTTCCTTTCCTTCAGCTCCCCATCCCGCCGCTGTGAAAAAACGGGACAAAACCACACATAACAAAACAGGGAGGGTGGGAGGGACAAACTTAACCAGGTAGGAAATTAGAATGACTTACCTAAAATGGCTGCCCATTTAAATAACCAAACCTACTTACCCATAACTCCACTCCCTTGCTTACTTCCTCCTAAGCCCGCCTCCTAACCCCTGTCAAGGCCTTTTTCCGCTTAGCTGCGCCTGGCTACATGGGGCTACATGACAGGTGTATAGTCGCCATTTTGGGCAGTCGGAATCCAGGACAACAACCCCATAACCTAACCCAATAACGCACGGACACTAAGGGATATGGGGAAATTTGTCCACAGCTTTATTAAGCAAACAATAATAATAACAGTATAATAATAATAATAACTTAACAAGTAAAACATGGGTCATTGCCCCCCATACTCCGCCCTCGCATCCTATTCCTTCCATTAACATATAAAGGGCAATGACCCCCATATAAATAAACATATATATATATAACATACATCAACATTATTCCAATCGATGTAAAGTGCCAACCATCCATTAGCCACGGCAGGGGTATACCCGGATACCCCTACCCCACCAGGTTCTGAGCCACCGACAGGACTCGAAACCTATCAACCACCGATGACCACCACTTGTTTGTTTTCCATTACGTTCATCCTGGGGAGCCTATTTCCTTTCCTTCAGCTCCCCATCCCGCCATAAGCTCAGACCTTGACCCCTTAAGCCGTCTGAGCTCCGCCACCCCGAAGAAACAGCGCCCGCTGCATACCAACCTGCCAACCCAAGTTTAGCAGATCCCAACCCACCTCCGAAAGATGAACCCCGTCCGAGCGGTAGTACCCCGGCAACCCCTCTTCCAACTCGATGTGCCGTACCACCACACCCCCCACCTTCCTAACAAAGCTTGCCATCAAGCTGTTCACTTTTTTCCTGCATTGATTGATAGCCACCGGATCCCGCGCATGCCGCCACCGACGCCTTGGGACAATCTCCGACCACACTAACATAACCCCCGGAAGCAGGTCCCTCAGTTTGTTGATGTCCTGCTTCATCCATTTTACCAACCGTTGTTGCGGCGTAAGGCCCAAGTCGTTACCCCCGGCATGAAGGACCACAATGTCCGGCGTTTTCCCGCCCGCAACCATCCTAAACATTGCCCCACAAACCTCCCCCCAGCAAAATCCCCGGTACCCAAACCATCGGACTGCCAACTGGTCCTTCGAAAAGCCCAGCTGCTGGCCCTGCGTTCGAGCTGCGGCCCTCCTCTCGGCCCAGAAGACAAAAGAATGTCCCACAATCCAAGCAACCCGTCCTGGGGAGAAGAAGAAAACAAGCGTGAGGGAAAGGCAAAGGGAAACTCCCCCGTCCATGCCCGCCCCCGTACCTTATACATATACATATATATATATATATAAACATATACATACACATACATGTACACTTTTTTTTTTTTTTTATTCCAATAAGCCCAACCGTACATATGAGCGGAACCGCACCGACTCCCATCTCCCTATGCGCTTCACGACCTCATCTCCTAGTCCCAACCGTGCGGCCTCCGTGGCTGCCCCAATGCGAAAGGAGTGAGTACCAAAACGTCCGGCCGGAAGCCCCAACTTACCTAGTTCCGACCGAAAAACCTTCGTAAACTGAAATCGGGACAAGGAAGAACCATCCGCATGCACCAAGAAAGAACCCCCTACCGCCGGCCTCCGGGCCATGTACTCCGCCACTGCAGCCACCGGGCACAATACTGCGCCCGGCAGGGCCCATAGTGTTACGTCCCGACCCACGCCGCGGACGTCTGTTTTTGATTTACCCAGATGCACAACCACCTTACCCTCCAAAACACGAACCCCCGAGGCCTGTAAACCCCCGGGCACGACCCTATTGGCACTCACCAGCTCCCCCACGCGGAATGCCCCGAAGAATGCCAGGAGAAAGGCCGCTCTGAACAAAGAGACCTCGAACCCGTTGAAACAAATTTCCGGCAACAGACCCACCAGATCCCCCAACACCCGCACAGACACCGGGCGCCGAGAGTCACATGACCTGCGGCCCCTTCGATAACCCTTTAACGCCTGCCGAACTAGGAAGGTCTTGGTCAGATCCTCCTTCCCGCGCCACCGGAACCAGAATGCCATTGCCGCCATGGACTTGTCGACCACTGCAGGGGATGCCCCCTTTGCCAGCAATTGACAGGTGTACCACAGAAAAGCGTCCCGCAGCGCATCCCCTTGTAAGACATGATCCAACCCGTCTAATGACCGTTCCCAAGAGTCCCAGACCTTACTGTAAGAAGCCCATGTGGCCGGTGCCAGCGAAGCCTTCACAAGTCCCCCAAGCAGGATGCTCCCAGCTGCCATATCTCGTCCGGGCAAGCCTGCCCCTCCTTCAATGCCCCTGGCGCCATTGTCCAAAATCGGGACCACTGAAAACGAGACAGAGCGTCAGCCACTTCGTTCAGGTACCCAGGGACATGATGCGCGCGAAAAACAACATTCCGTGACATACACATTAACACAAAGCGCCGCAGCAACCTAACCACCGGCTTAGAAGCAGCCGATTGATTATTCACCTCGTGCACCACCGCCATGTTATCCGAGAAAAAGACCACTTTCTGGTCCCGGAGCCCCTCGCCCCACAGTGCCATTGCAACAACCAACGGGAATAATTCCAGAAAAGCCAGGTTGCGCATGACCGGGCTGGACCCCCATGTCTATGGCCACCGCTCCGCGCACCATCTCCCGCCGAAGTAGGCTCCGAAGCCCACACTACCCGACGCATCCGTGAAGAGCTCCAGCTCCGCCACCGACTTACCTGCCTGCCGGAAAAACACCGTCCCGTTGAAATCCTGCAGGAAGGCATCCCAAACGCCCAAATCAGCCCTCATGGCTGCCGACACCCGTATGAAGTGGTGTGGGGATCGAACCCCTGCCGTAGCAGCCGCCAGGCTGCGGCTGAAAACCCTCCCCATAGGAATTACACGGCATGCAAAGTTCAGCATCCCGATCAACGACTGCAGTTGCCGCAGCGTAACCTTGCGCGCAACGGCCACCGCAGCCACTGCATCTCTGAGCCCCTCCAGCTTGTCCCGAGGCAGCCGGCATTCACCCAAGACCGAATCTATTTCCAACCCCAGGAAACTAAGGCCCTCAGCCAGTCAGCCCCCTGGTGCCTCGCCGCCGACCGGATCCCCTCCAGCAGTCGCTCCACTTCGTCCATCGGCCCTGCAGGGAGACAAAAGAAGAGAAAACCCTACCAAGCCAAATCTGTGCCCACAGGAGCGAACACAAACTTAACCAGGTAGGAAATTAGAATGACTTACCTAAAATGGCTGCACATTTAAATAACCAAACCTACTTACCCATAACTCCACTCCCTTGCTTACTTCCTCCTAAGCCCGCCTCCTAACCCCTGTCAAGGCCTTTTTCCGCTTAGCTGCACCTGGCTACATGGGGCTACATTATGATTTGAAATATATACATTGTAGAATATTGGAGATATTCACGCAGAGGTTATACCATTTACGATATTTAATATTTCTACAATTCTCATCTCTATTCTGTGACAAATATAATGAACTTTTCTCCAGCACTTGATGAACTTAATGCATTTCAAGGAATCTACACCTACGTGTCCCTGATTATGTCGCCTGAACACGGTCTACCAGTTGAAAACATTGTACATATTGTCAAGCCATTGCTGATGTATGACTGTAAATATACATCCTTCAAGGAGATAAAGTAATTTAGTTACATTGTGTATAACCTGCCTAAAGGGAATGTATGGGTAAATATATAGTAATAAGTTACTCACTATTAAAGGAACACTATAGTCACCTAAATTACTTAAGCTAAATTAAGCAGTTTTAGTGTATAGATCATTCCCCTGCAGTTTCACTGCTCAATTCACTGTCATTTAGGAGTTAAATCCCTTTGTTTATGAACCCTAGTCACACCTCCCTGCATGTGACTTGCACAGCCTTCCATAAACACTTACTGTAAAGAGAGCCCTATTTAGGGGCATGTTCTATACACCAAAACTGCTTCATTAAGCTAAAGTTGTTCAGGTGACTATAGTGTCCCTTTAAAGTTTTCCTTGATACTCTGTTTGATGGGTCTGCCAGCTGCTGCAGAGAGATCCCTCTCTCATCAGAAAGGGGCACTCATGGTGATGCATACATGAAGCATCTCATGGCATTGTCTAAATGTAAACATAAATGACTTGCAACATACAATATATTATGTATTTTAACATACGGTATGTTAATATTAATTTGAAGGTGCTCTGTAATTCTTGTCAGACTTCTCCATGTCTGTCTGTTTTTTGTTTGTTTTTTGCAGAGGTTACTATCCACGTGGTGGTGGGGAAATTCTTGTCAGAGTTGCGCCTGTCAAGTATTTAAACCCGATTAACCTGACAGATCGTGGCACAATCACCAAAATCTATGGACGAGCATTTGTGGCTGGAGTTCTTCCCTATAAGGTGAATTTAACAAGATGGCTACAGGGGTTTTCATTATAAGCAAGGACATTTACACTAATCCACAACTCATCTAACAGTGAACTGGCTTTCATGGCTAATCCTGAATCTTCAGGTCAATTAAAGGAACACTGTATACAGGTACTCTAACCATAGTGTCTAGAGATCTTTAGCACTCCATATAGTGCCAAACCATTTAGTACTAAATAAGGTTCCCCAACCACCCACAGCACAACATCTGCTGTAGATATAGCTACATTGTATCACAATGAATTCCACAATTAAGTGTGAGGAGGAGGGAGGCAGATGAGATTTCCTCACAGCATTCTGAGTGCTATGACAGGCTAATTTTAGTGCTTAGCAGAATTATTTCAACATGGGTCATTAAGGGATTAAATGCAGGTATGGCTAAGATATAAATAAGACACTTCCTTCTAGCCATACCAATTCATACCAGCAATAGGCACTCTGATAGGGGGAATACAGTCAGCTGAGACTTTCATTTAAACACAGGTGCCCATTACTGCTCAGGCTAATGCTTCTTTATTAGTCCAAGCAACACAGAGCTGTTGAGGATTCATGTTTTGGCATTAAAAGCCGTTTAACACTGAATGGAACGGCAGTGACATGGAACTCCAGACACTATAACCACTTCAATACAGTTTCCTTTTAATGAGCCACAAAAATATTTTATTTGGCTGCCTGACGCATTTCCAAAATATGTGACTACCAGAAATCTGGTAAACGAAGTTTCTCTGTTCTTGTCTTGTTGAAATAGGATAGATAACATAACAAAATAATCAATTCTTGCGCCAACCCTGGTGGGGTATTCTGGCTAACGATCGTTACATTCCATACAAATCTGAGCTGCCGGAGAATGCTTTGGGTTTTTGTTACAGGAACAGGGTGGACTGGTCTCCCAATTGGGATCCAGACCTGTCCGTCTACTTCGTCCGTTACCTCTCCAGGGGTGCTTTATTTGTCTAGATTTTGTGATATGTGACAATTGATAAAAGTGCCAATTTTAATAGAAATCAGAACTTTTATATTTTGGGTCAGAAACCCCACAGAGCTAACCGAAGCAGCATCTGAGCTAAGCTAGAATACTGCTGCCTTCCCCCCGTCCTAATGACCTGTACTACAATTAAATGAAAAGTATAGGCAAGTTGCAATCACTTGCATATGCACGTTCTTTGGCTGCTCCAGCACAGAGGCATCTCAATGAAAAGCCTCTGATCGGTGTATTCCCTGACTAAAAGTCTGTGTCTGGGAAAGAGCAGAGGGCTTGCAAAGACTCCAGACTCTTGGTCTGCAGATTTTGCAAACCGTTTTTTCATATCCAAAGAAATTGAACAAACAAAAAAATTCATGCATGTTTTCTTTTGAGGGTTTATCTACTAAATTGTAAAAAAAAAAACCCAAAAAACTTTTCAATTGAGTGTGAATTTAAAATCTAGTGTACGAAACTTTTTGTTTTTTTTCCTTAGGTTTCGAGCTTGAAATCAGCTTTATTGAACTGAATGTGCAGCTTCTTATCTGCAGTTATAGTGCTGATTCAGGTCATATAGCTTGTTTAACTAGGTGTATGGGAACCAGGAAACTAGTTAAGAGCTAAGAGTACATATCATGGTTAAATACCAAGTACAACATTTATAAAGATATTACACGGTTCTGTCCTCTATTCTAATAGTATGTCTTCTCCTTTATATTCATCAGATGGTGAAAGATATGACTTCAGCTGCAGTGCGATGTATACGCCGGGAGCTCCGGGATCTTTATGTGAATATTCAAGCTGTACAGGAATCTGGTGACAAAGCTGTGGGAAATGGCAGCGGTATAATGTGAGTTGTTGGGTCGAAATTGTTGTGTATCTGACATTCTAAGAATTCATGCATTATTGACTGCCAGGTGTACTGACCAAATGCATGTTATAGACCACTATTTAAACTAGAGCGATAAAAAAAGGCAAGGTAAATGCTTCTCTTGTGGAACCAAAGTTTTGGATATCAGCAAGATTTCTGCCCAGAATTGTATAAAACCAGACACACCGCTTCAATAACTGCATCCACACACATAGGAATGTGTGGTGGATGGTAATGATGGCTATTGTCCTAATAGTATCTATAACTATTGGAGACATTTTGTTTCCCATTGTGTAACACCTTACTCTTTTTATTCAGCATTGTTGCAGAGACCTCCACTGGCTGCTTATTTGCTGGTTCTGCACTTGGCAAGAGAGGTAATTGTTACTATCGTGGTATTCATTCTTCTGGTCTTGCAGGTACTCTTATCATTGTTGGTCATGTTATTTCAGCCATGAGACCAACAACTACCAAGTCTTAGAGCTGTAACTGTGTGAATGCTGAATGCTGGAAAACCAGGATTGTCGTCCTTGTGCAAAATGTCAATGTGAACAGTTGTCTGTCAGAACGCTTTTTGTTACTTGATAAGGGCAACAACAGATATGGAGGATGTGGTCTAAAACCTAGGACAGGAAAAAGTTAAACATTCAAAAAATGTATTCATTTAAAATATTATTTTCTGGTCTGAAACATCATTATATAGTGACTGATCTTGTTAATAAACATGAGTTAAGATGCATATCATATTTCTTTGTCATTAATGTGTTCGCTATGCATACTGAATTGCAAATGTACCCAAGAAATGTGCCCCCCATCTGTGCGTAGATGATGAAATTATATTTATTGATATTCCAGGGTGGTGGAAGAGCTGTGTTTGTGCTATGCCTTGAACTGTCACACTCATTCTCTTTCCTCAGGGGTTTCTGCAGATCGAGTTGGGGCAGAAGCTGCTGAAATATTGCTCCGTAATTTGCATCATGGTGGCTGTGTGGATGAATATCTGCAGGACCAGGTAAAAACAATACAGTTGTACAATACAATGAAAGAAACATTGGGGTTGGATTTCTTTTATTGGTAACCAATGGAGTTGGTTTAAATACATTAAAATCATGGCAAAGTTCCAAACCCCTAAAAAATGTTTGTTTTATTTTTAAAAAGGGGGGGTTTCCCTATAATAAATAAATATTATGTACAAATACAATGTATATCCACTTAGTAGTAATTTTAGAAAATAAATCTCAGTAAGATCTTAAGACCCAAATCCTAAAGCAACAAATTCCCAAAGTGAAAGGATATGTGTGTGTCTACCTTTGTAAATATGAACATGGTATGGTCCATCTTTGTTCTGACTGTTCTTGTTGGGCAACATTTCACACAATCTTCCAGACACGTTTGGCAGAGGATTATGGGGCATGCAGTTACACATTAACTAGACCAAGGTTGGGCATCTAGGATTCTTGCATTTCTGTTAGTCAGCTATGATATTTTATTCCTGCAGTTGATAATATTTATGGCTCTGGCAGACGGGGTCTCCTTGCTACGGACAGGCCCTCTGACACTGCATACACAGACTGCTATTCACTTCGCAGAGCAAATGACTAAGGTAATTGCAGCTTATTTTTATGTTTCTGATCTTTGTGGCAAAGAGCTACAAATAGAAGGATTGCTGTACAAATAACATGGACAAAGAGAAAGTGCAAGAGTGTAATTACAATATTGTATAGAAGATACAAGTAAGTCCAGTTTTGCATTTCTAAAGTTCTCTGCTCTGTTTTAATTTGGGTTGTGTGTTTTTGTTTTTGTTTATGTCCTTCACCTTTTGCATATAAAAAAGAGGTTGTTGATCTTTTTTTTATTTTTTTTATTTTCTAGGCCAAGTTTTCCATAAAGAAGTGTGAAGATTCTGACTCGGAGAGTTATATAATTGAATGTCAAGGAATTGGTCTGCAGAACAAAAATATATGAGACTGGTAGTAGATTGGCCAGACACCGTGAAGATAACATGTGGATGTTCTCCAAAGCATAGCATGACACACAAGGAACTGTGCATGCTGAAGGAAGGCAGTATAAAGGAATCCTAAAATTGTTATACTGACTTGCAATCTGATTCTGTCTGAGAAGTAATCAGGCACTGCACGATTGAAAACAAATTTTAATTTATCTTAGTCGGAATACCTGGTGACATTACTCTGTCACTTCTGCACCTCTAAATAAATTGGGTGTAAATCAATTGACAGTGATTGTTTACTTTATGTGCATGGTGACTAGCTGTCACTCTTCCGTGTTTATTGGACCTTTTTATCCTTTTCTCCTACATTATGTCTATGTGCTGTATCCGATCACTTTGCATTGCCACATATTAATTTTTATTTTTATTTTTTTACAGACAAAATCAAGGTGTTATGTGTTATGTGTGCTGGGTGTGTGTGTGTGGTGGTTAATGTTTGTGTGAGTGTATGGGGTGGTTGTGTGTATTGGGGGAGGAGGTTGAGTGTGCCTCCCAACACATCGTTTCCATTTTCTTCTGACATGTGGAGCAAACATCAAGTATTTTCAGTATAATGGTTCTATTCGTGGTGGGAAGGTAGGAGTACCCTTTGGTTCTGTAAATATTGGATATTAATAGCAGACTTATATGGAGCTCTCTCTTTTCCCTGCCATTTTTCTAGAAAAAACAAATGTATTAAGGCATTTATCGAAAAGTCTTATTGTCACTAGAACTTCATAGTCCCTCACTCTGAGTCATCCATTGGTGAAATAAATACTGGACAGAATCATTAATGCCATACCTGCAACTAACGGATTATCTTGTCTCCTTATATCTTAAGTATATTTTTATAGATATTCATATCCTGCATTTAAAAAGCCAGAAGAAATAATTAATATAGTTCCAGAATGGCATCGAAAGGATGTAATTTCCTATGAATACATTTAATTTAGATCATGGCTTGCCATCTGCTCAATGAAGTGGTCTGAGTGCCAGGTCCCTCTAGTTTTAACCTTACAGCTGAAACTGCTATGTTTCACTGAGGGTTAATCCAGCCTCTAGTGGCTGTCTCACTGACAGCCACCAGAGACGCTTCCGCAATTCTCACTGTGAAAATCACAGTGCGAAGACGCTGGACGTCCATAGGAAAGCATTGTGTAATGCTTTCATATGGGCTGTTTGAATGAATGTTTGCGACTTTCTAATCACCAGGTATCAAACTTTCCACTAGTTATTGGCGATTAATAATTTGTCCTAGAGAGAAGAAATTCGCCCCTGGTTAGTGTGTTATGTACCCTCCAAGCTTGCAATGGAGGGTAACTTATAAGTCCTGTCTCGCAGCGTAGGACTTTAAATTTGGAGACGCTTACATTGTGATAGACTTATGACCTTTTATGGGAGGCTTCTTTTCACAACAGTTGGAGAGCTGCCTTTTCACACTGTCTTGATTAACAAATTTAAAGGAACACTCCATTAAAATTACACTCCATTACTATTTAGTAAATATACCCCCATAGAAAGCATACAAGCATTTTTTTTCTGCATGTTCAGACACATAATGCACTTCCGCACGTGAACTTATTTATGTGCCTGGGGCTTTCCTTTAAAAAAAAATCTTATAGAACTAAAGATATGGATATAAATGTAAACTTGTACAAGAGAAAGAGACCTATTGAAACGGTTTGGAACAAGAGCATGGGTTTAAGAACATATGTTAGTCCTGCACTCAAACGTCGAGCACTCGTGTAGAAACCACCCAAAAACAGCCACCTGTTCTGTATCACGAATCCCCAGTGGACACTAAATATAAAATAACAATAATTGCTATTGCATTGTAAGCTCAAATGCCAAGATCAAGCCAAACCACATAGACGAGTCATATGTGAACAATTCCCTTTGCTGCTATTCTCTGGGACAAAACATAACCTAGATATTCTTATAGGTTTGACCGCAAACCTTGTCAAGATGTGGACCACCTCAGGATGAGCATCATTGAGCACTCAGAAAAGTTAACATTTACTATGGACTGTGGTTTGAACCAATTACTAAAAAATAGTTTATCTATGGATTGATATGGATGTTACGTGAAGTGACTTTACACGCACATTTTCACTTCCCTCCTTCACCAGTTGCAACTCTCCATGAAAAAAAGCATAAATCTTTAAAACACTGTAGGCACTCATTGAAGGGTTTCTGGTGTCTGGAGTTCCCTGGTGCCATTCTTCAATGTAGTGTTAAACTTTTTTTAATGGTTTTAAACTATATATGTCACCAGTATCCCATCCCCTCTGTGTCAGCCGACTGCTTTCAGTCTATCACAGGGATCATTGTTGGTATAGCTAGGAGGAAGTGTAAAATATTTTACTTAACTGTACCTCCAGTAGGGGCTGGGCTGCTGGTAGCCATGGAGCCTTGCTTAGTGTTAAACCGCCAGAAGATTTTATTTAACACTAAATGTAGGGAAAACACCAGAGGACTTGAGGAATTGTAACCAACTCAATGAGATTAAAAGGCTATAGTGTATACAGTGTCCTTCAATAAACCATGTTAAATGATAAGTTCCCCAGCTAGAACCATGAAGGTTCAAGGTGAGGCAATTAAACTCCACATATATAGTGAAATTCTGTCAAAGCCTCAGATGTGTCTGGGAGGAAACCGGGTGTAGTCATAACAGTAGTAGTTACCTTTCATGCAATTAATGATAAGTATCTTTGTGCTAACTGGAAGGACCACTCCAAGCATCATAACGTATTGTGGTTATTATAGTCATAGGACATTTAATGTGGTTGTTTGCTGTTAATCAAACAGTTTTCGGTTTGACAAAAAATTTGAAGACTCATTGATATTATAAGCCCAATTCCTCGGCTTGAGAGGACAAAAAGAGGAAGTTTCACTCAACTGCTACCTGTTCAAGTGTTTATACGGCCTGTTCATCCAGCGAGACCTTGCACAGTTCAGTGAGAGTGTTTAATAGTGGGGCAAATAAGGTTGCTTTTTTTTTTAGAGCCGATACCGATAATCTGTGAACTTTCAGGCCAATAATTTACCGATATTCTGTAAATTTACCATTTTGAAAAAATAAACTATTTCTACACAAAACTACTGTTAACTGAACAGGTTTATTATTTATTTATTTGGAAATCTTTTTTTAATTAAGGTAAATGCTAGGGATCGACTGATATTTATTTTTGAGAGCAGATACTGATAATCTGTGAGCATTCAGGCCAATAGCTGATAGCTTACCGATATTCTGTACATTTACCGTTTAAAAAAAAAAAAATTCTACACAAATCTACTGTTAACTGAACATGATTATTATTTAATTTGCTTTATTGCAAATCTTTTTTTTTATTAAGTGGTAAATGCACAAAATATACATGCCAGTCAGATTTGTTTAATGTTTTCAAGAATATTTGTTTGTGTGTAGTGGATGCAGTGAGTATTTGATTAGTAAATGCAATATATGTGTGTTGTGTAGTGGATGCAGTGTGTGTGTGTGTGTGTGTGTGTGTGTGTGTAAATATGTGCATTAGGAACTCCCCCTCCCCCCTTTTACCTGTCTCTTACTGCCCACGAATTCACCTTAATGTTCTTCTCCCTTCTCTTTTAGTGGTCCCCCCTCTACCCTAGTGTTCCTTTTCCCTTCCCTGTACCTTAGTGCCCTCCCTTAATGTTCCTCTCTCTCCCCCCCTAGTGTTCTCCCCCTGTCCTATAGTGTTCTTTCCTCCCCTGTGCCAGTATTCTTTCCTTTTCCCCCCACCCCTGTCCCATAGTGTTCTTTCCTCCCCCCGTCTTATAGTGTTCTTTCCTTCTCCCCCACTTCCTGCCCCATAGTGTTCTTTCCTTCTCCCCTGTCCCATAGTGTTCTTTCCTTCTCTCACCCCCCTCCCCTGTCCCATAGTGTTCTTTCCTTCTCCCCCCTTCCTGTCCCATCCCTTCTCTCCTCCCTCCCCTGTACCATAGTGTTCTTTCCTTCTCTCCCCCCCACCCCTGTCCCATAGTGGGTTTTTTTTTCTTCGTGGGTGGGTGTGTGTGTGTGTGTGTGTGTGTGTGTGTGTGTGTGTATATATATATATATATATAATGAATGCAGAGTGTGTTTGTCTAGTGTGTGTGTGTATATATATATAATGAATGCAGTGTGTGTTTGTCTAGTGTGTGTGTGTGTATATAATGAATGCAGAGTGTGTGTTTTGTGTAGGTATGTAATGTGCGCAAAATGGGTGGGGGGGTGAAAACATTGCTGAAATTACAGAATATCAGCCGATAATTGGACGATCTCTAATAGAAATACCTGGATATGCCTCATTTGGATATGCTTTAAAACATACCCGTTATCACAGAGTGAAACATTTTCAAGGGGTAAATGTAAGGAGCCATCCAGGAGTGGAAATGTAGTGTTTTAATTTATGGGGTACATGCAGATACTGTATATGTAAGGCATAAACAACACAAAGTTTCCAATTGTGACAGCTATTTAGGAAAATTTGAATATGAACTGATAAATTTCATAAATGTAAGCGATGCTTGGAATCGTGGTGAGATGCAGGTGTGGGTGCAGGCAACTCAGGTGAGAGATGTGGTGCACAATTCAACAATGGGGAAATAAATGAGAGGTCAGTAATTAAAAAAGAATAAAATTGCAAAAAATGTGACGCACAAATACACCTCTGCATGCATACACACTAACACTCCAAACAAATACACCCCTGCATTCCTATACACACATTTACACTTCTCATATGTGCCCTATTTTATCATTTATAAGCACTGATACAATTCACACCACACCAAACAATTCCACAGAAGATGTAGATCTATGACAATAACCAGCTAGTCACCTGGAAACCACTGCCACCCAAGGGTGGGGGAAAAGGTTGGAAACATGTTCTCTTCCTCCATTTACCATGTCAAACCTTCCCATGGTGGGAAGCACATGCACAGCTTAAAAGGATATTCTTTCCATGAATCAATAACTCACGCTGTGTGAGTAGCTGCACAAACTATACCTTTTCCAAAGCCAGCTGTAACCTTCAAGGCTCAAGGTCAGATTCAGAGTAATAGTGTACAAGTCTTCAGACACTTCCAAGCAGGATAAGCTCACTATGCCATGAAGTTGGGTGTAAGGCATGTGCATATATTGTGTTACCGTCAGAGCCTCAGATGTGTCTAGGAGGAAACAGAATGTTCAAGTAGCTAAAGAAGTAGTTTTATGACATCACAGTCCAACATCATTCCTAATTATATTATTATTGGCATTCTTGCAGCCAGTCATCACTCTTCTTGACACCACTGGTCTGAGTGTAGAGGAGACGATTATCATTATGAGATGACATGAAGAGGAGGTTTCACTCCATACCATTATCGTTTGTATGGCATGAGCAGGCATCAAGTGCTCACTTATAGGGTTATTCACTCAAATGAGAATTGCTGTGAATCCATAGTTAATTTAAAGTGAGTTTCAAATTTAATGCCAAAATATTTCAAACTAGAAAAAAAAATCCAAGTAAGCTATCCTTCCAGTTTGGCAATTTTGGCCTTGAATTTTAAGTTTACGTTGAATTCCAAACAGTTTTCACTTTAATAAATAACCCTGTATATGTGTGAGAAATTGTAAATATTGGGGCATTTTAGCTTTGGCTGAATTGCTACCAGCCCTTTTGGAGCCTCAGAATTGGCATAGCATTGTCAGGCTTCCTGTGTCGGTTCAGTGATACCAAATGAGTTCATACAAATTTGGCAACATTGACAGTGCAGCTAAGCTGGACAAAGCAAAGTGACATTTTCTCATTATGACATCTGATTTGAAAGGCTGGGCTTTGGAGAAAATAAAAACCGCTTGACAAAGATGGTACTTTTAGTCTCAGTGCACCATAACCATTACAATGAGCTTTAGTGGTTATGGTGCTTGGTGTGTCCCTTTAAGTGAAATCCCAATTACTTCTGCAATGCTAAATGAGTAACAAGGTTGGTGCACTAGTCTGCATCCAAAACATTTTTCCAGCTTTGTTATAGGAAGTTTAAATTTCAAGCAGAACCTACTGGAGAGCTCTGTACTAAAAATGTTTAACCCCTTAAGGACACATGACATGTGTGACATGTCATGATTCCCTTTTACTCCAGAAGTTTGGTCCTTAGGGGGTTAAAGGACCACTATAGTGCCAGGAAACAAATTCGTTTGCCTGGCTCTATAGGGTGTTTGGGTCCCCCCCACCCTCAGGGTCCCACTCCCGCCAGGCTGAAGGGGGAGGAAGGTGTTAAATTCTTACCTGGATTAACCCTAATGTAAACATAGCAGTTTCTCTGAAACTGCTCAGTTTACAGCCGCAGGTTTAACCCTAGATGGACCTGGCACCCAGACCACTTCATTGAGCTGAAGTGGTCTGGGTGCCTATAGTGGTCCTTTAAATATATGTAGTAAAACAAACCATTAAATATTTCCTGTCTTACTGCTGCATAGCAGCACTGCATGCATGCTTCACTTTATCAAAGCCCCTTCCAGTCATACTGGATATCACCAATGAGGGGCAGCAGAGAACCAGTAAATGAGGTTTTTGCATAAGGTTGCTGATTTGAGTTGGCAGTGGGATTAAAAGATTACTGCGGCTCTTGTCGAGATTTACAATAATAACCTAGGCCAGGCCTCTCTACCACCTCTCCTATGACTCCTTTATTACATACTGTATACAGTAATTCAATTGAGTGCCTCTATTACTTCTGTCACTTGAGCTGACACTGCTGTAAATCTGCACACACCTACACAGAACAATGTACATTGAAATTAAAAGCTAATCATTACACGAAGGTCGCAAAGCCCCGGGGCTGGTATAAAGAATTGCATATGTCTGGGGATACAGTTAGATCCTGGTGCATTGCTTTGTTTTATATTAATAATTATGTCAATTTATTTAACACGTAATGGAGCATTTAGCTTCTAGCCAAGGAAGTCACTGGGTTTAACAAATCCCATCCCACTTCAAGTAGGACCATTTATTCTGAGATTTTTAATCTGAATTATTATGAGTGGGATCTGGGAAGCTTCCCTGTCGGTCATGTTTGACCTTTTAGGACCTTACATGAAGAATGATAAATAGTGATTGGTGGAGGGCAGATGTCAATTCATCTGGACACTGTAGCAGTTTGAATGGAAGAGTCACATACACACAAACAGTGCTTTGCTGTAAAATGAACATTGTGCATTTCTAAAAGGGCAATGTGAGTGCTTTTAGAAAAGGTTGCAGAGCATTTGTGTGATATAAGAAAAGTAAAGGCGTGACACCACCGGACCTGGCTTTCTCAGATAATGTTTCAGGGTTCACCAGTCTCAAGGTGGAGAACAAGTTGGAATAAGTGCCAATCAGTCAGTTTAAAGTGTCACCTTGGTCAGAACCTTTGTAAATACATGAAGGTGACGTACGTATGCCAGATGGGGATGTCATTGGTTTTGCATAAGTAATGAAAGAGATGGGACATCACTGGTCACCAGTTACCCCAACCAGTTCACTCATAATGACAGTTTTCTGAAGCATCCATTGATTTTGTTAACCTTACTAGGAGCTGTAAGGCATGTACTAACCATCCTCAATAGAAAATATAATCAACTAAATGAACAGTGTGTGATTTTCCTTATCCATTAAAAAAATAAGATGGTAACTACAATAACACTACTCTGATACATAGTGAATTAATAATATATCCAGCACTTGCACAAAACAAAGTGTTAAATATTTTTAAAACGTAATCAGTCGATGTGCTAAAATAGCACTAATTGGAAATTAAATTCTGTAGTGATGAAACAGAAACAAAAATAAAACTGTTTTTCCACAGCACTTTGCATTTATAGATTCTGTTTTTCCATTGACTTCTTTTTTTAAAAGGCTTTTCAATTGCAAGATAAGCTTATATTACCTAATAGAATCAAGCATGTAGCATGTAGTGAGCCAACTACTGGGAGGATTTTATAAGCTCAATACATTATCACATTTGTTTGGAGTTATTTACTGAACTGAGATTTGGGGACAATAGACCATGGAATTTCCAGTTTTAGGTCAAGATCCAGGTTTAGCTGAACTTGGCATTTTCTTCTGGGGAA